TCATCCATACGAAATTCGTGCAATCGACGTGTCAGTGCCACTCGATTCTGAAGGTTTGTCTTGTTGTAGTAGTCGCGTAGTGTTTCCCATGCTTCCTTCGCAGTGCGAGCATGTCGGATCTTCGTCTGATGCTTTACTTCGATCCCTTGAGCAATAATAGCAAACGCCTTCATGTCCTTGACCTTCCAATCCTCCGTCATCTCCTGCTCCGACTTCACTTCCAAGATGTGCTCTAGCAGGCCCTTCCTCGCAAGTGTCATCTTCATATTGAATTCCCAATGGAAGTAGTTGTCTGTTCCAAGCAGGTCATCGGGTTTATTCATCGTACTGGCTTCTGGCAGAGGTCCTTAAGCTTTTGGGCTCATAACCTGTTATGTCGAAGGAAAATTGGAAAGTGTATTGAATTAGTTTTCCTATGAACTTACTCGTCGTGTTATCTTCTTCTACCTTGTAGCTTTCCCTGATCTTGGTGGATTCTAGAACATACACTCAAGGTAGTTCTAGAATCATCAGACTGCACGTGAACCGTTTACACCCTGTCGTATCATCGCTGTCTTGTCACTCGTGCGTAGCAAATCACAGTTGGTGTTGTTGACCGTGCATTGACAGTGCACACATCAACAGTTTTAATCCAGGAAAGATCTGTGCCACAATCCAAACGTCTATTGCGATTTTGACCGCCAATATATTGCGCTAGAGCCGAAAGTTGCCATATGGAGCAGTAGCGGTGGCACTTTAATCAAGCCACGGGCATAGCAGGCCAGACCAAGTACAGCAGCAAATTCATCTGAAGATAGAGGTGCGGGATATGCAAAAGCAACTCAGTGCCTGATTCCACAAGGTGATTGAGCGTATAAACCAACCACATGGAAATGGCCATCATCATTATCAAGTCGCTTGATGCTGAAGTGCTGCGTGGTGTTGCTTGCGTCTCTATCGGAGTGATCAGATAACCACACGTCCGTCGCACGGTAGGCATAAGCATCAATAGTGTAAAAGAGGCTGGTATTGAGCAACCTCGACTTCTTCCCGGCTTCTTTTGTCGTAAGTGCTACTTCGCTATGCATATGAAACGCGATACCGTAGATGGAACGACGTCAACTAGATGTGGATTTTGTGCTGCAAGTGGTACACTCAAATATCATGAGAAAGGCGGTAGCCGCCGGTCTTAATGTTGTTCTATGTTTACGAGCTGATCCGCGCGTGGCGCCAGACGCTTGCGGGTTCCCCTTCCAATCGAATTCATGCGCTGCACAACGGCAGGCACATGTCGAGCGCAAAGTATGGACTGCACGCTGGATAATGGGCGTTTTTTTTCGTGGACCATCCCGTCATACCACTTCCACATTTACCCTCCGACAGCCACCCTGCGGTGTATCTATCTTTGAGCAATGCGTCTCGACACCGCATTGCTCCTGCTCGGTGTCATCGTCATTGTGTCCAGCATAAAATCGCTCCAAGCCCGTGCGCTCGATGGCCAAAAATCGAATGCCTCTGTCCGTGGATCCCTCCGATCCGACGGTGCCGGTTCTACGGGTGAAGAAGACAGGACTTTAATCGGTCAGATCGCGAAACTTGCCGAGGGGTGTTCTGGGAATTCGGCTGTGGCAGTCAAAGCAATGGTGTCTAGCCTGCCAAAATCTGCAGGCTACGAGCCCGCAGCTGCACGATTCTCGACCCGTGATTATCAAGGGGCAAGCGAAGAGGCTGCAATGAATTTGCTGCACAGTGATTTGGACAGTTTGCTGAACAGTTGGTGGGCAACCAGGCATCGTGTTCCACATTTCCAAACCAGCTCTCAATACAAGCAGATGTCTGCTCTGGTCCGCCACGTCAGCAACCTTCCCTCCGTCAAGCGCACCATGAGTCTGGAGGACGTGCTGGGAAGTATGTTCACATTTGATGATCTACTAAAAATACGCTATAGGCCGCTTACGGAAAGCGAGGAGGCCGAGTGGTCACGCCGTCAAGCCATGTGGTTGAAAGAAAAAAAGACAGAAAGAACGAAAACAACTGGCAAAGACTAGAAAGGTAAAAAAAACCTTAAATCAGTTGGGAAGGCGTTTTTAAGGATTAGTCGAGAGTATGATGGTAGATAATCGAATAATGAAAAGGCCCTGTCGTGCGATCACAAATGTATTTGTTTTCTCGGTACACACGAGTTGTTTAACCTGTCATGGTTATGGTGTTGACATACCTCCGTTCGAGCGACTTTCTGTCTCAGTTTATGCTACTTTGTCAGTTTCCCCTCATTGTGTAGGTTTGATTTGGTCGTCATAGCTCTACGCATCAATCATTCTTTGTCTTACTCAAAAAACTCCTCAAACACTGTAAAACGTCGGCATCGTTCACCTATATCGCCAGTCGGTATGTGCCATGCATTTTTACGTAAAGTACCTTACGTTTATGCGGATGCGTACTATACCGCTATCAATAGCGTTGACGTGCGCAAACATATTGCTATCTGGATTTCTTGTACGAATTCACACATGTGTATGTACCAACTTTCGTAAGAGCTCATGTTACACTACTGTTCGTCACTTTATTTTCCTTTCTGGTCAACAGTCGTATCTTCTTGTGTAATGGGTCGACCCTGTTACATGATCTTATTATTTATGACAATTTGATAAATTTGGAATATTAAGTTTAATATTCTCATTACAATGTCACTAAATTCAGTGATATTGTTGCGATGACCAAGGGTCTACTCATTGGTTTATACAACCATTATATCAACCCACCAATCGCCGCTAGACGCGCGAAATGGGTGGTCAGTAGACGTCATCATACATGTTTCGTTAATGATACAGTTTAGGCAACACAGTGAAGTAAGAGACTTTCAGGACTTTAATGTATTGATACAATTTTACCTTTTTCCTTTTTTAAACTAAGTCGTTCCGTATCTAGTCTTTCTCTAAGCGCGTACAGTGTATGCAAGCTTAAGAGGGCACTTATCCTCATTGCAGTCAGTGAAAGCTTGCTACGCGCTGTTGTCAGTGCGTAGTTCCCAGTGCTTTGTTACACCTTCGATACCAATATTTATTTGGAGCGTTTTAACACATCACTATGGAATAATTATGATTCCTCGGCGTTGTCGACGACACGGTTATGCAAGATCCATAGGTCTTTGAAATACGGAGCATATTTATTGAGCGTAAAGGGAGGCTAGGAGATATGAACATCATTTCGACACCTAAGGTTTATATTAATATGTTACGCGCATATCATGGGCGAAGATTATTCTTGATTAGTCGTTTTTGTATCAGCTCTCAGTAGATCACAAGCACTTACTTCAAATGACCAGCTGTTACGATAATATTTGCAAAATATGTTTGTTCATTGATTCATCGGATTAAATGATAATGTTTGGAATGAATTTATCGATCTTTAATCGATCGATTTGATGATCAGAGAACCACTTCGGTCGTTAAAAGTATAAATTTTCTAATATATGTCAACTAGTTTGAATGGGCCGACTCATTCTGGCTGAAACAATTAAATCGCTTACAATGGACAAGTAAAATCGAAGAATTACAGCATAGCATTGGGCAACAGTACGAGTGATAAGACAATCAGTCTCACAATTTTAATCTTCATTTGATTTTTATTTGATTTGGTTAAACCGGTGATTAATTACGCCGTGATGATTTATGCTGGACCTTCACGGTATTATACAGAAATGGCCAATATATGTTATTCGCGAGCTTCATTGCCAGCTATACCCAAGTGGATGATCGAATGTGTTTCCACAAATTTAACAATTTAGGAATACCGTATTGACACACCGATTACAACCTTCATGTTTGCGTACTGAATCACAGCTGATGGTAATATATTTTACCCGTGACGTCCAATAACAACACAAATAGACCCTCAATATGTTGACCGACGTAACGGCTCCCAAGTTGTTTGTGGAAATCTAAAGGAATGGTAACAAATAAAATTTAGTGACGGTTGAACTCTAAGGTATTAGCGTCGAATTTTCATTTAGTTTTAAGCCCAAACAAAATAGGGTAATTGAAAAGACACCCAAAATTGTGATTACTAATAAGAAATTTAGCAGAGTAAAAATTTACGAAAATATATACTTATTGAGGCATCCTGCGTTTTTGCAAATACGCCACATCATGGGCCCTGATAGCTGGACCACCCCCCCAGCGTCACCCTCTATCTGACCATTCAGAAGCAACGGACGTGTGATTCGGTGTAATGTCTATCTAATCATCTAGCGTGAAACCAATTCAACCTGGCATTTACCAGCTGTGTACTGATCAGTGGTATTTCCGGTGACTAGAAAGCCCGCGACACAACCAAGTACCTTAATACACCGCGCTTCAAGCCTTCGGCACCATCAGCTGCACTGTCTTTCACGTCGTTAGGCACATCAATGGAGCAAATTAATGCTCACGCGTGTTGTAATTGCGCTTGAGTGGTCGGATGCAAAATGCAAAGTGAATATATTCAGGTCCTTAGTTCACAAAGTCTGTTGCTACTCTAAGCCTACTGGATTCTTCGACTACACGTTTCTAATCGCTATATAGCGCATTACTAATCGTCTAGTCGCGCATTAGTAATCGCCACATCGCGCGTTGGTAATCGCCACAACGCGCATTACTTAGATAATCGTCTGGTCGCGCATTACTAATCGTCTAGTCGTACGTTTCTAATTCATGCCGAGGCGTTCCTTTTACAACACTCCCACTCGCCTCGGCAGACCATGGTGCCTTAATGCCCAACATGTTGCGAAGAGCGTCGAACTAAGTGGCTGCGATCGGCTTTGTCATGATGTCCGCGAGCATGTCTTGCGTTGGACAGTACTCCAGCATCACTTGGCCGTCCTCGACCTTCTCGCGCACAAAGTGGTAGCGGATGTCGATGTGCTTGGTGCGCTTGTGGAATTCCGAATTCTTGGCCAAAGCGATCGCGCCTTGATTGTCTTCAAACACCGTCAAAGCACCGTCGCCCGCTTCTTCGCCGAGTTCACTCATGAAGGCCTTGAGCTATACTGCCTCTTTAATTGCTTCCGACAGTGCCATGTACTCGGCTTCAGTCGATGAAAGAGCCACGGTGCGCTGCTTCTTGCTGCGCCAGCTGATGCACCCTTCGTTGAACACGAACACGTAACCGCTGGTGCTGCGTCGAGTCTCAATGTCGCCAGCCCAATCCGCGTCCGAGTAGCCGATCAACTCACCGTCGCTGGAGCCGGAGAAACGAATGCCGTGCTTCGGAGTCGTTTTCAGGTACAGGAGCACGCGCTTAAGGGATTTCCAATGGGTCGGACACGGATTGGCGGCGAACTGGCTCAGTGTGCCTACGGCAGCGGCGAGATCTGGACGAGTGCCAACCATTAGGTACATCACCGCACCGACCGCACTGCGATATGGTACACCCTTCATGGTGTCGTCATGGATGCAACCACCTTCGCACATGGTCTTGGTCAACTTCAGTCCAGGGTCTTTAGGTGTCTTCACGAGCTTGAAGTCTTGCATGCCGAATTTAGTCAAGATCGAGTGCACGAACTTGGTTTGTTTTATCAACACGTCGCCTGACTTGTCATCACGCTCGACTTCCATGCCGATGCAGTACTTGATTTCACCGAGGTCGGACATCTCAAAGCTCTCACTCAACGCACGATTGGTCGCTTCGAGCAGATTCATGTCGTTGCACGCGAGGATGAGATCGTCGACGTAGACCACCACAAACATCATGGCCTTGTCGTCACGCTTGACGTACACGTAGTGATCCATCTCGCACTTGGTGAAACCGATCTTGCGCATAAACTCGTTGATGGTCTGATTCCACATGCGAGGCGACTGCTTGAGACCGTACAACGCGCGCTTGAGCTTGCACACAAGGTCGGGATTCTTGGGGTCGACAAATCCTTCGGGTTGCTTCATGTAGATCTCTTCTTCGAGCAGAACGTTCAGGAACGCCGTCTTGACATCCATCTGGTGCAGCACAAGCTTGTACCGGGCCGCGATGCTCAAGATGATCCGGATCGACGTGAACTTGGCCACTGGCGCAAACGCCTCTTCGAAGTCCACGCCGTACTTCTTCAGGAAACCCTTTGCGACGAGACGCGCCTTGTATCGCTCGATGAGGCCTTCGACGGTCTCCTTTACCTTGAGCACCCACTTGCTGCTGATGGCCTTGCGACCATGTGGCAATGGCACGAGCTCCCACGTCTCGTTCTTGCAGAGCGACTCAAACTCGGAGTCGCACGCTTCGATCCACTTTCTTGCGTCGCTGGATTCCATCGCCGACTCGAACGACGTAGGCAAATTCTCCACTGAATACACGACGTGAGCGCATTCTTCTTCTTCTTCTTCTTCGATCGACGCGAGTATCGCCGACATGTCATCGAGCGATGACCTTGAAGCTGGTGCTGGCGTCGAACTTATTGCACTTGTACGACCCACGCGTCCTTAGCGCTTCTCCGCAGGTGGCTCCGACAGAAGTTCGAGCGAGTGCGTCCGAGAATGACGCTTGGACCCCGGTGGGTACTCGACGTTAGGTTGCCGAGACTGCTGGGGCTAGCGACGCGAAGACTGGCGTTGTTGCCATTGCGGTCGCTCGTTCGTAGAGACTGGCACCGCTGGTTGCTCAGTCATGCCGTCGTCCTCGTCTTGGTTTCTGTAGTCATCTCTGTCTGCACCGTCGGTCGCTTCGTCGACATCTGCAATCTTGACTGACGTGCTGCTTCCGACTTGGCCGCGCTTGCCGCTGTCGAACGTGTATTCCATGAACTGCGCGTCGCGACTCACCACGATCCGGCTGCTCGACAGCTCCTCGAACCGATACGCTTTCTCATGGTCCGAGTAGCCCAAAAAAAGACACAACACTGACCTTGCGTCAAGCTTCGACCGCTTCTCCCTTGGTATGTGCACATATGCGTGACACCCAAAGACCTTGAGGTTTTTCAACAACGGCTCCTTCTGCGTCCATGCTTCGTGTGGCGACTTGTCGTTGCCAGTCGCAAGCGTCGGGCATCGGTTCCGCAGAAACGCTGCCGTCGTCAACGCTTCACCCCAGTAGCGCTTGGATAGTCCCGCGTGTTCGATCATGCACCGCGCACTCTCGACCAACGTCCGATTCATTCGCTCATATATTCCGTTAAGCTGCGGCGTGTACGGAGGCGTGAACTGCTGCACGATGCCCTCGTTGCGGCAGAACGCGGAGAATTTGTTGGACACGTACTCGCCGCCGTTGTCGCTCCGAAGCACCTTCACACGCCTCCCAGTCTGGGTCTCGGCGAACTAAAGCTGCGACGTGTACGGAGGCGTGAACTGCTGCACGATGCCCTCGTTGCGGCAGAACGCGGCGAATTTGTTGGACACGTACTCGCCGCCGTTGTCGCTCCGAAGCAAGCGGAAAGTGCGAGCGTCGCGAATGTGGCTGAAGCGCCGCAGATGAGCAAGTCGTACCTGTGGCAATGAACGTCACGAAGTAGCGCTTGGCGGAGAACGTCGACGTCTGCATCGGGCCGCATACATCTCTATGTACGATGTCGAGTACGTTCTTGGCGCGCTCGGTTGTAGTCGACTGGAAACTCACACGCGTCTGCTTGCCGGGCGCGCATCCGCCGCAGAGCTCCCACTTGTTCACCGACGCAATGTCAATGCCGACGCTGAGTTTCTGCTTCACAATCGTGTCGAGTCCGCCGTGGCCGATGTGGCCTAGTCGCAGGTGCCACAGGTACGACTTGCTCATCTGCGGCGCTTCAGCCACATTCGCGACGCTTGCACTTTCCGCGTGTACAGGCGTCATGCACATCTTGAAGAGACCCTTGCCCGCGCGCTCGCCGATCTTCCATTTCTGGCCCTTAACGTTGACGTGGCAGACACTGGTGTCGAATGTCATCGGCGCGGCATCCTTGGTCAATCGGCCGACCGAGAACAAGTTGCGCGTCAGCTTGGGAATGTGCCACACGTTCGTGAGTACACCCTTTTTGACGCCACTTGGAGTCTTCATCTTCATCACGATGTCGCCGCTGCCGATAGCTTGCACAACACCGTCATCCGCGAGGTGCAAGTCGACTGGATCAATGGTCTTGTAGTTGACCATGAAGCACTTCGAGTACGACATGTGCTGCGTCGCGCCCGAGTCGATGAGCCATGTCGGGTTCTTGGTGTCGTCGCAGCTCACCTTTCCGACCGCAAACAGGAAGTCACCTGAAGCTTGATTGTGCGCCATATTCGCACGCTGCGGACGCTGCCGGTCCGCATTGTCATGGATCCGGGAGGGACACTCCGCGATCCAATGACCCATCTTGCCGCAGTAGTTGCACGCGCCAGTCTTCTATACTGGCCGCGCACTGCGCTTCTTGTCGCCCGTCATGAACGCTTGGCCTGCGGCGATTCCAGCGCCACCTTGCTCCTTGCGCTTCATGTCTTCATGGAGGAGCCGAGACGTCACGAGTTCCCACGTCAGGGTGTCGGAACGTGATTCCAACGCCGTGATCAGGAGCTGGTACGACTCGCTCAGGATGCCGAGAAGCGTGATCACCAAGTCGTCCTCGCTGACCGGAGCGCCGACCGCGTCGAGCTGCTCCGCCAACGTCTTGAGCTTGTTGATATGCGCGAGCACATCATCACATTCTTCCATCATGGCCGTGAAGAAACGACGACGAAGAAAGAGCTTGTTCGCAAGGCTGTTCTTCTTAAAGTGGTCTTCTAGCTTTGACCAGACATCGTGCGCACCACTCGCCGAGCGGACCAACGGCAGTTGAGAGTCTTCCATCGCGAGGCAGATGATCGCCATCGCCTTGCGGGACGTCCTCTTGAACGTCGCTTGGTCCAACGCGTTCACGCAATGCTCGAGCTTAACTTCACCGCTAAAAACCTCCCACAGGGGACGTTCTTCGAGCACCTTTGCATCTTAAACTTCCACGCGTGGAAGTTGGTTCCGTCGAACTTGTTGATGCGGGAGGGGCTGGAGTCCATGGCTGTGTAGCTGGAGTCGGTGGCGGCGGTGGCAGAGTCAAACGAGCTTGGGCTCATAACCTGTTGTAATTGCGCTTGAGTAGTTGGATGCAAAATGCAAAGTGAACATATTTAGGTCCTTAGTTCACAAAGTCTGTTGCTACTCTAAGCCTACTGGATTCTTCGACTACACGTTTCTAATCGCTATATCGCGCATTACTAATCGTCTAGTCGCGCATTAGTAATCGCCACATCGCGCATTAATAATCGTCTGGTCTCGCATTACTAATCGTCTAGTCGTACGTTTCTAATTCATGCCGAGGCGTTCATTTTACAACAACGCGGAATCAGTGAGGTTATGCTGGTAGGAAAAGGCGAACCCGAACGGTTGGAAATAGGAAAGGTGGCCCAATCACGCAAGTGGCCATCTCCTTTGTTTTCAGTGAAGAGCACGAAGGCACGGTTGATTGGTTACGCAATACAAGCAACTCTCGAAACGGATGTCCTTTTAGAGGCACTCTTCGGCATAATAATGAAGCCAGTGCATCTTTTACTTTGGCTTAGACTGCCCCAACCACAACCATGAACCCGCAGAAGACGTGGCTGCATATTCAAGTGCACGGGTACTCAATTCTGAGTAGGTTCAAATGGTGGAACAGTTGTGCGAATCCGGCGTGAAACCAAGATCAATGCACAACATGTTACGTTAAAGCCAAACCGAGCGTAACACGGTTCTTCGAGACACTTACAACATGAAGGAAAAGTCCAAGAATACCTTCCTATCTGGGCGCACCCCTCTCAAAGCTTTGTTGGACATTCTCATCGAATAGCATATAACGCACAAAATCCAACGAAACGCCGCGGGCAAACTCACGCATCTATTCATTGTGCCAAATTTTGCGGTTGAGATTGCAAAGGATTATTTCTCGAACGACATCCTTCTGCTATATTTAACATACAAAACCGAAAAATTCCGTATGCCGCTACTTCATGTAATAAGAGTCTTCGGTACGATCCAGTCATTCTCCTTGACGTATTGTTTAATGGCGAAATAAACGAATGCGGATTATCGATAGGCCATGAAAAACTGAGGAAATTTATCCAGCCTTTAAACAGATCAAAGCATCTGGTGATAGTCACCGATCGCAAGCTTGCCCTAATGAACGCCATTTGAGAGAAATTTTTCTAGCATACAATCTGCTTTGCATCTGGCATATTCACAAAACATGTTTGCGAAACTTAGAAATCACTTTGCAACAGCAGATACATGGGATGTGTACTTTGGGACACTGCATCAGCTCTGTAGTACGGCATCTCAAGGCGTGTTAAACGACCATTGGCAACAAATGCATATCGAACTGCTTGAATTAGAGCATCCAGTTTTGGTGAAAGATCCTAATATAATTCGAAGACGCGGCCGTCTTCAAGGTAGCACCAACCGCGAGCCAAATTCTTCACAGAGAGATCCCTCTGCATTTACATATGTGGAAGTGCAGACCAATGGTGGTGGATGGACGTGTACATGCGGGGAGTGCCATGAAGAAGGACCACAACATCAGGACTATACCCGTTTGCCGATAAAGGTCAACATAGCGGATTAAGACTTCCAATACTTTTTACAGCTCCTTCTCATCCCATTTGTTTCTACAGATTGTGTTGAATAGACATTACACCGAACCACGCGTCTGATGATTCTGATTGGTCAGATGGGGGTGCACTGGGGTGTGTGGTCTATATATAAAAGGGTGCGGTCCAGCTAGCACAGCCCCACATTCATTCATTATATCTTATCTTTTAGCTGAGCAAATACACAACTAAACACCTTGTTCGCTAATATCACTTTCAGAATTTAACCGTGTATTGTACAAATTGTACGTCGCGACATTCGAAAGTCCTTTCTCTCGGTAGCGTTTTAAAATCTATTCGCATTTTGTAGCCATAAGCGCACGGAAAACATACACCAATGTACTCGGGTCTGACTCCGATCATTTTATCGCGTTGCACGTGCACGTAAGAATGACACACCGGAGAGCTTCAGCTATTTGCTTGAGCGAAGCAATAAATGCTAGGAAAAATGGCTATCCCAGTATAGGCACGCATCAAGTATATGCTCCAGTAATATAATACGAATATTTTTTTGGCATAATGTTTGCGCCGAGCAGTGTAAGAGTCACATTTAGTGCACTTGTGCAGATGAGATTGGACGAAGCCATAGGCAGATAACGAAATCAATTTCAATCTCGCTTTTGCATATACTTGTGAGTCCTCTGTCTATAACTGTGTGTATTGACAACGAATACTATCATCGACGCTTCGCATCAGTCGCTTTTCGGACGCTTGTAACGTTTTATCATGCACCTCTCTCTCTCATCCAACATTTGGTTTATAATTTTGTCACCTGAATCATTTGGGGTGTGACGTGATGTAGATGTAAATAATTATTGAATGCCTTTTTTGCGATGACTCGTCGAAATACAGCAAAAAATGTAAATATGTTTGACTCATATACGCAACTATTGATGCTGCAAACTACTATAAGTCGCCTCTCGTATGTATACATCGACCCCGACAAATCGCACGAGGTTATTCGTTAACACTGATTTTTTTGGTATTAAATACCAAAAGAATCTCAAAATTGGCTTTGGCAAGAATTATGAAGGAGCTTTATCAGCCTGTAAATCCTTCTGTATTGAACTACACACCTATCGGCGCACAATTTGTATTTCTTAATGCTGTAGAAAAGAATTCCAGATAATCATACTTGCTGCGTGTGGATCCTCTGCAAAGCATTTACGCGTTCGCCAAAGTAATGTCGATACCAAGCCTCAGCTTGTGGAAAAATTGCACGGCTTTTTTGTAAGGGACGTGTCTCGAACGAGATATCCTTTTTCGCCTTTGTGCGCATCATCGGCATCGCTGACAATGATTGCAATTTTATCGTTTATGATGATCACACACCTTTTGCGAGCGATACTTTCTACAGTGTTCGTCTGTCTTCTACACCCTACCCATAATATTCATCAGCAAGCTCTGAAATTCACCAGCAAGTGCCAGACTTAATGGCGTGACATCCTAGGTAATTGGACATTCTACAGCAAGCTACACGGGAGCTCGATATGTGCCAGCAGTTCTTATAAGCGAGTGTAATTAACGTACTTCGCGGATTCTACACCATTTGTACACGATATCACCTGTACCAATGGATTTTGGCTCAACGTTCTCCGACGAGGTTGATTTGATCTGATCAGCGGTTGGTGTGTTACCATTCCCTCTTCGATACGAAAGACGTACGTCGCACCCAAACATACGAGCAATGCTATGGTTGCCACGCCTATTAATGTCAACTACTGCGAATCGAAAGTCGTCCAGATCTACGACTTTGTTGTACGATATATTCTCACCTAAGAAAGACGCTATTTCACGTTGTCATAAATCCATGAAGGGCGTTTATTAATCGTGTGGCCAACCCATTGAGAAGATGGACGCGCAAGTATCGTTACCTGGAATTCAAATTGCACCTCTGTTACTTCATCATAAATCATCGGATATTAAAGATACTATACTCTTAGAAGATATGACTCAATAGCATCTATGCTCCTTGCGCTTCAACTCTTAATGTAATAGCAGCGTCTTCACAAGTCATGTGTCAACTTGTCGAACGTAATTTCAACGATGTACTAGACTATGCTTGAATGCTTAAAGCTGCTAAGACTCGAGAATAAAAAGTCGTTCTCGTCGATTAGAACACCGACCACGTCGATTCGCTTCGCCAGTCTTTGGATTGTTGACTTTACAAGTGTACCATATTTTTTCTTCCTTTATGTGTGAATAAGAGTAGACATTGAAATAACTTAGTGGAAAAACTCTCGTTTTTATAGATCTATTCCAGCTATATTCATGTTGTAAATGTGCTTCTTGATGAGCGTAAAAAAGTAGTTGCGAGTCTTCGATTGCTATACAGATGATATGTTTCTAATTGCGGGACTTGCGCTGGAACGTTGCTTGGTCGAGTGTTAAAGGCATTGCCCGATTTTCGACTATGTCACAAGCGAACTTTCACTAGCAATACTGCTTGAGCACCATTTGAGTGTCTAGCTTTCATTCTTGAGAGGTGGTCTTTATCAAACCTATATTTACGGTCAGTGATGGAAACTTTCACGGTGGCGTAGCAGGATTTGACTTTAGCCAAAACGGAATTTTTTTGTCTCGGGCTCGAATGCTTTCAAATGAACACTCGCCCGGCGTCTTGCAACATGCATAGCGCAAAGAATCAATTAATGTTGCAAACTTGTTTGCTACTATCATAATGTCATCGTTTTTTCATTTACGAACGGCTTGCTTGTTGAAGTCAATTACATCAACCAGCCGGATGGATTCATCAGTCCTAATATTCCCGACCGCATGTTCAAGATAGGGGGAACTACACGGCCTATAGCCGCCGCCCCGGACGTGAAACAAGACGAACCATTTTTTCTGCGTCACATAAGATTCACTTCGTGCAAGGTGAACCACTGCGTGTATGTCGAGCGTGTAAGTTTTCCATGGTTTTTGTAGGTACTTACGTCTACGATCTCCTCCTGGCATTTGCCAGACCGAACTTACTCGCGATTACCAAGCGTGCACGACCAAGCGTGCACGTAGTGGGTGTGATGAAATGTCTGGCTACGGCATTACTGCCTCGGTACTTCTGCATCTGAGCGTGATGACATGTTGGTAAAAAAAGTCCTTGCGGAAAATGAATTTCGGTATGCAATCGCTGTTGCGTTGTCGGAAGCGTATCAGGAAGTAGTACGGTTAGAAGCGGTTGTGCATGATCTTAGTGAAAATATAAGAGATGGTGCTGTGATTACGTTCGAAGACAATCAAAATGGTGATAGAGATAGCCAAGAATCGTGATTTTTACAAGCGCACATAGTGCATCGATATCCGCTTCCACTAAGTACGCGAGAAATTCGAAGACGTCCAAATGCTGCCGAAGTACTGCCCTGCGTAGCTATGCGTTTGGTACTAGGAATCAGCCAAACATTCGTGTGGAGTCTGAAAACCTTTGGCGGATATCGGAGATTAGGCGACACAACGCCGAAGAGTCGAGTGCGAGTGTTTTCGATACTGCCGTACAATAACGAGGCGCCTTCAACTTTGCACTGCTAGTTACGGGCGACTCGACGAATGGTAATGATCGTAGGTACGCTAGTAAGGGCAAATGAGGTAAGTTGCAATGCTCGTAGGAAGGCATCAACGGGCGACGAGTCGGTCACTTGTGTGGCTCCAAACAATCCAACAGGCTTACTGTTGCAAGAGAGTTTGCGAACTAAAACCCCTGATCAATGCGCTTTGCAATTCGCTCGACAGCGAGCACATGTTGGCAACACAGCTGCAACTTCAGCACGAGTTGTCGTATAGTGTGGTAGTAGGTCAAGTGCAACATAGCATCCGTTCATCCTTTGTGTTTGTGTTTGTGTCCGGACCCTCGACGCACCTCTTTCGTACCCACTCGACGACAATAGTCATAACCCGCTGCAATAACTAGCAATTAATTGCAAAAACAATATCGACAGAAACCCGCGGCCACCATACGTCGTCGGGTGTACCACCTCAGTCTTCACCCGCGTAGCTCCTCGTGGTCGTCGCTCGCTTTACTTCCTATTGCCCCTCTGCTGCCTTCTCCCGTCCCCCCCCGAGACACTTCACGCCGCCGCAATGCTCTCCGCCGCCGTCGGCAAAGCGGCGCTCTCGACCCGCATGACCGTCACGGCCGTGCGCGCTGCCAGCTCGTTCCGCATTGAAACGGACTCGATCGGGGAGATCCAAGTGGACGACTCCAAGTACTGGGGCGCGCAGACGCAGCGCAGCCTCGAGAACTTCCCCATTGGCGGCGCCCGCGAGCGCATGCCGCTGCCCGTGATCAAAGCGTTCGGCGTCGTGAAGAAGTGTGCGGCCAAGTACAACCTCGAGAAGGGCAAGTTGAGTCCCGACGTGGCCGCCAAGATCATTGCCGCGGCGGACGACGTCATTGCGGGGAAACTCGACGACCATTTCCCGCTCGTGGTCTTCCAGACGGGCTCTGGCACGCAGTCGAACATGAACACGAACGAGGTGATCAGCAACCGGGCCATTGAGCTGGCGGGAGGGGTCATGGGCAGCAAGACGCCCGTGCACCCGAACGATCACGTGAACATGGGGCAGTCGTCGAACGACTCGTTCCCGACGGCCATGCACATTGCTGCCGTGCAGGAAGTCCATCGCGTGTTGCTGCCTGGACTGCACAAGCTCCACGACGCGCTGGAGGCCAAAGTGCGCGAGTTTGACGACATTATCAAGATTGGGCGCACGCACACGCAAGACGCGACGCCACTGACGCTCGGCCAAGAGTTTTCCGGCTACCGGGAACAAGTCGCACTCTCGATTGAGCGCGTCGAGCGCATCCTGCCGAACCTGTGCAAGCTCGCGCTTGGCGGCACGGCTGTGGGCACGGGCTTGAACACGGCCAAGGGCTACGACGCTGAAATTGCGCAGATCATTGCACACGAGACCAAGTTGCCGTTCGTTACTGCTCCGAACAAGTTTGAGGCTCTTGCGGCGCACGACGCGGTCGTGGACGCCAGCGGCGTGATGAACACCATTGCTTGCTCGCTCATGAAGATCGCCAATGACATCCGATTCCTCGGCTCGGGTCCGCGCAGTGGCCTGGGCGAGCTGACGCTGCCTGCGAACGAGCCTGGCTCGTCCATCATGCCTGGCAAGGTCAATCCCACGCAGTGCGAGGCCATTACGATGGTGTGTGCCCAAGTCATGGGCAACCATGTCGCTGTGACGGTGGGTGGCTCGAACGGCCATTTTGAGCTCAACGTCTTCAAGCCCGTGATGATCAGCAACTTGCTGTCTTCCATCCGTCTCATTGGCGACAGCTGCAACGCGTTCACGGACAACTGCGTGGTGGGCATTGAAGCCAATCGCGAGAAGATTGACGAGCTCATGAAGAACTCGCTCATGCTTGTGACGGCGCTGAACCCGCACATTGGCTACGACAAGGCCTCGAAAGTGGCCAAAAAGGCGCACCAGGATGGCGCCACCTTGCGCGAGACTGTCATTGCGCTTGGCTACCTCACTGGCGAGGAATTTGACCGCTTTGTGCGTCCCGAAGAGATGGTCGGTCCCAAGTAGGATGTGACCAGTGTGGCCAATGTGGCCAGTGTGGCCATTTTACAACATGATGAGAAGGTTGTCTTGGACATCAAATACACTGGCGTTGTGGATCATAAATGATAGAAAGGGGGGACGGGTGCAACACGCAACTGGGCCGATGCATGTCGTTGCTGCGAGGACAATGTGTCTGTGTGCAACAGGTGTATCCATACATAAACGCGTCGAGATCAGGGTGGGCGTATCACATGGTCATGACGGGCGTGCGCCAGTGCCTTTGCACGCGAGCGGATGTATCCAAATAGACCACCAGCTACCACCAAGCTGCAAAACGACAACTCATAGCTCTGTCCGTTGAGCTTCAGGTGTCAAGACGGGAGCGACAGTAGGCACCGACATCGTCGCCCGTCGTCCATTGTCGCTTGCGCTCTGTATCTCGTAAATCGCAGCTTGGAAGGGCAGGTACAGGGCGTTCTAGCGACCGAAAAATGGACACACGGACGTCATGCGTAAGTTCCCACACCGCTGCAACTTAATGCACACGACCGCCTCGAAACTGCGTCCACGCACCAGCTGCCGTTCGGCAGTTCCGAGCTCCTTACTCAGCGCGACCGTCTGTCGATTGAGCGTGGCCAGCACCTGATTCAACTACAGCAGAGCCAAAGTCCATCCGCCGCGTGGACTCAGTACGAACCGACAGACAACACGCAGAGTCGCCATAGACGCTCTCGCTCTCGCACCTGCTGCACCGCAGTCGACACGTGGTGCATGACCTCCAGCAGTCGCAGCTCCTCTTCCGCTGCGTCCTCTTCGTCCATCCAGCGCTCCATCGCGTCCACCGTCAGACTCGCGTGAGCTACAAACCCGCAAACTGTCGGCCGTGGCGCTCAGGCTGCGCTACCATTGGCTAATACTCCGCTCCATCGACTCAGCCTCCCTCGCTGGTCTCAGAAAACCCGAGCGACTCGCCGACCAATCAGATCCCTCGTGAGCCCCCACGCGGTCACTATCCGTCCGCCCGTCCGTTCATCAGTTGGCCAGTCACTATATCTGATTATCCCTTTGAAGCGCTGAGGCCCATATGTGGATGCAAAAGTCCGTCGAGAGCGCGAGCTTCTCGAGCGGCCACCTGCACGACCGCAACCACACGGCCGCCGCCCCGTCTGCGACGGGCAGTCGCGTCTACAGCGGCAGTGCGATGCCGACGTCAGCTGCCGGCAGCAACAGCGCAGACGCCAGTGACTGGAAGCACAGGATCGTGGAGAGCGGCCAATGGCTCGGGGGCAAAGTGATTGAGTACGGCGGGAAACTCACGCGCGGGCCGACGGCCGACCACGCGACGATCGCCGACCACTACGCGCAACAGGTGCCCCGGAACGACGGGCGGGCGAATTGGATGGCCGACATTCGGAGCTCGTCGACGTCTGCGGGCGCTGCGGGCGGGAGAAGGGGCGCGGGCGGGACGGGGTACACGGGCGGCTACCAGAACGACTTTGCCACGGAGCGACCCAAAGTGTATGCAGAGTACAGCAGGGGGTACACTTCAAGCGCTGCTGTGCCGGGCCAATGGGACGACCGGCGCGCTGGTGGAGACAGTGCGAGGCGTGTGAGTACTCCATCGCGTGCGGGGAGTGCCCGGAAAGAGGAAAACGAACGGAAGAGCAGCCGACGGAGTAAGAAGAACAAGAAGAAGAAGAAGAGTGACAAGAAGAAGGAGAGTGCCAGTGAAAGTGAGCGGGAGGACGAGACGGAGGAGCAGTCTGAGTCGTCCGCAGCTGAGTCGGCGGACGCGCGACGACGCGCGAGGAAAGTAGAGGCCAAGAAGAAGCACAAGACAAAGAAGAAGACCAGGACGCGCACAGGCTTTTACTCGGAAGAGAGCGGGAGCGAAGACGCTTGCAGCACGGACAATGCGTCGGCCGACTTGTCGGTCTCGAGTGACGACGCAAAGCCGTTGTCTCTGTCGTCGTCGAAGCAAGCAAAAGCGGCGAAGAAACAGGCAAAGGCCAAGAAGAGCAAGAAGGACAAACCTCACAAGAAGTCGCGCACGCAGCGTCAGTCGATCGCGTCTACAGACGAAGAGGCTGCATCGAGGAGTACCAGCACGCGCAAGGCGAAAACACGCAGCAGCAAAAAGGCGGTTGCGGTTGCCGCTGGTAGCACTTCCAGTGTGGACTTGCTTGGCGTGGATCTGGATGCCCACCTTGTGGTGCAGCCGCCGGCGTCAGGTTGCTCTGGACAACAACACCAGCAGCATTCGATCTTTGATGCACCGCACAGCCAAAACCCTCTGCAAGATCTAACAGGTTTGAGCTTCGTAGCCCCAGTTCAAGATGCTGCTCTATCGCAGCCGGCCGTCTGTGTCAACGACAGCGCGCTTGCAAGGGCTCGTTCGGAGGAACAGTCTCAGCACCGCCCGCAAAGTGGTGCGTTTCAGACGAACATGCTGCCGGAAAACAATATCGTTGACTTTAGCACTCTCGCGAGCGAAACGAAGAAGACGTTGTCGGCGAACCCGAAAGAAAAGCGGACCCTGAACGATTTGCAGAAGGCTCGCGGGTCCGATCAGCCGACGCCTGTGATGGCCATGCCGGTGCACGGACGGCAGCCACAGAATGCATCGGGCAGCATGATGCAGCTGAACATGAAGCAGCTCCAGATCACGGATGGGGCCACGAGCATGCCACAACAAATGTATACAGGCATGCAGATGCATCAGATGCCCATGCAACCGCAAATGCATCAAATGCCGATGCAGCCACCGACGCTGTCACCGATTCATCCTCAGATGATGGCGATGCAGCATCAGATGATGATGATTCAGCCTCCGATGACCATGATGGCACAACCCCAGATGATGAGCATGCCGACGGCGCAGCAACAGCAGGTCGCTCGCGGCCGCGGAGGTATGACTTCGCCGGCGAGCACCAACAGCTCAGATGCGGTCCTGTGATGCCAGCATCATGAGGAATGTGGTTGTGCTGGCGTTATGGACTGGAAGTTGTACAGACTGAGTGTCTACCTTATAAATGAACTGTGTGCAGTGTGAAATGGGCAACAAGCACGCTACCTACACGACCGGAGCTGCGCTGTTTGCTTGAATCTCGGTCACTCTTCGCTATGACCAAGTTGCCGTAGCTCTGCGATAGGAATGTGCAGGTGATTCTATCCTAGTGCATGCTAGCGAGAGAGAAGGTCTCTTTTAGCCGGAGAAGTCTCAATGCAGAATGTCTGGAGCGTTTCATGGTCCAAGCAAATTGTAGCAAGAACTCCACACAATATCTCCAGGAATTTGCTCTTGCTGACGCCTGAAGAGCTCCACCTCAAGCCGAAACTTTGCACACAGTGCTGCTTTTCAGCAACTCGGCGGCATATTCCGGCAAGTAGATAAACGATCTTCAGCAGAACTTTACACCCGACCAGACACACCTTCACAGAAGGTGTACGAGGTAGCAAGTTCCATTCAGCTACAATACAAACGGGTACACTGGCAGATTTCGCTGTCCAATACTGCGACAGAACAATCGCAACTGACAGACCCCCGAGATCGTTGTGCCGCGCGATGGCCGCATGCTGGCCATTCAAAAACATGGAATGTGTTGTGGCGGTAGTATTAAGTTTCGCAAGCACGACAACACACATGCTACAAGCCGACATAGTCCGATACAAAAAGACACCAAATGGTGATGCGACGACGGTAGCTGAACGGAGCATTTGTATGGCGTCTACGTGAGTTTACGAAGCCCCTTTACCGTCCGCTTACGTATAAGAAAGTGTCCGACGCGTAGACGAACGCATCGTAGTGATTTATTAGTGTCCTGTCTCCCCAACTCGTGCACGAGCTTCATTTCGAGCTTCATGGTCGAAGTCAGCGAACGTCAACCGCTTTGGGCCCTTTCCGCTCAAGAGACGATGTGCACGACCACACAGGAGCAAGAACGGCGCATACTCGCAAACGAACAGTTGCAAACTTGAGTTTTTGGGCCGCATGCAACGGTCGGAACAGTGCAGGACGGTGAGTGTAAGGTCGGGCGGAGGGTACGCTGCAAAGTCAACGCTTGTGCAGCACACTTGGCACATGCAAAAAAGAGCTCAGACGATCTACACAGCAGAAACTTTGTGTCATTGGCAGTCCATATAGTGGCTGATACTCAGATGGCTGAAAGCTGTACGCGCCGCGCTGTTGATCGTACAAAGAGAGGTGCGGACCCTTCAATTATTACAAACAGAGCTCTATAGACTGTATATGCAGTTCGCCTCCGGTGAACTGAAGGACCCCCGTGGCTCGAATCGCTACCAGCCAGTCTGCTCTGTGGACGGAGCGCCCGGACTATCGCCCTCCCAGCAAACCAGTCCATATCGGCGGCAACACTTCGCTGTCGCTGCTGTTGTTGTTGTTGTTGTTGTTGTTGTTGTCGTACAGACAAAGCCGGCCATTGTCACCTCTTCGCTCATCGTTTTCTTTCCCAGGCACCAACGCCAACGATGTTACCGCATCACGCGACAACCACGGTGACCTCACTGTGGTTCGTATTCCTTAACAACGCACGAATCGTCCACCCCATCGACAATCCCACTGATCCAGTTCGATACGTAAACTCCATTACTCGTCTCACTTCTCTGGACTAGACTACTTGTATCAAAGTACAAGTGAGCGAGCCAGAGTTACCTCTTCTCTCTCGAAGCAAAAAGCTACCGTTTACTCTTGCGCGACGCCACCAGTACACGTGTGTACTTCAGGACAGCTCACTTGTGACACCACTGCACTTGACGTCGTTTCCTTGGTCAACATGGTGCTGTCTCGTAATGGGATAGCACACGTCACAAGAGTCGTAAAGCAGGTAGAAAGCATGGGCTCGTCGAGCAGGTTTTTCCCACCTTGACAGAAATCCATGTTTTATGCGGGCAGCTCTACGTCAGCCAACTTGTTAGTTAAACTTGTTCTTCCGTTGTTATGTACTGTGTCAGCAGCTCAACTATTTGAGCAGCTACTGACAATTATGCAGCGCATACGATTGGAGCTTCTTGTACCAGCTTCTCAGTGTTTAGTATAGCTGGAAGTGTCCCTAACAGGGACCGTCTTGATGTTTGTGAGACCGTTCGGCACCACGTGGCCGACAGCTGAGATGATGGATTGAGTGATCGACTACTTAGAGCGACACTGAAGCAAGCGAGGTCGACATTCTCTGCATCGTTAAGGACATGAACCTGGTCAGAAGCATACCCATACTTGACGCGGAAGGCGCGAAGAGCTGCTAAAATGGACACGCGACGGCCATCGAGATATTAGGCCAGAAATGAAGAGAACTGAGTTTGCAATGCACACACTCGATGCTCAACTGTCAAAGTTCGAGACCAAGTACAAAGCTAGCGCAAGTGCAAAGACTGTGTATATTAAATCAAAGAATAAGAGTCGGTGACCACGTTGCTCTACCTCATCTTACACAATCACCCTCAGGGCATCTGCTTTTTTGCGGTCTGCGAGTGTTCTAGTCCCCCCCGACAGTGGCATGGCCTCTTCGGATTGCTTCAAAAATGTAGTCAACGCACTTGCAGCCATTTGATCATGACCACCACCTTTCGCCGCAATTGTCGTAGCTAACCCTGTCAGCCCTTCCTTGCCCATTTTTTCCTCCAAAATCTTAAACATGTTAAGTTTATCATTTGCACCACGACCCGAATTCACCGTAATCATATGGCCGAGCGCTCTCTGATATTCCTCGCTGCTGAAAAACTTGATCTTCACGCCCTTTTTGTCATGCAATTTTATCGCCTTGTTCAAACTTTTCACTAGTTTGTCGATCTCGGAATGCATGCTCTTCTCTGCTGCAGCTCTTTCGTTCGCCAGACGAGCCGCTTCCACTCTAGCAGCTTTAGCAGCTTTAGCGTTTGCTTTCTGCTGACGAGCGGCTAGCTTCTGCGCGGCTTTAGCAGCTGTAGCCTCGCCCCCTCCCACAGTTGTCGTCGACGCTGAAGACGACTTGCCGAAGAAGCTCTTGAACTTAGCGACGAAATTTGAACGGCTTTCTTCGTCGATGGCGGTCCCACGTGATGGATGGACGTCGCCAGCAGAGACATCCGTCTCGTCGTCACCGAGTGCGCGGGCTTGCAGCAGACCCACGTCGAGCGCCAAGACGATGACGACAGACAGGAGCACTGCGTGGAGAAGACGCATTGCTCGCGAGTAGAACTTGAGGAGTGACGGGGGCAGAGCAAATGTGGGAATGGCAAAGTAGGAGCTCTGAGAAAGTCCGACGCAGTGCGGCCGTCGTCCGTCGTGCAGTCCGATCGCTGCATTCGGCACGTGCTTTCTGTTGTTCGGACGTATGATCGGAAGTAGCAATGGGCAACGACCGTCTGTTTACTTTAGTATGCAGTTGAGTATGTCGACAGAGCCGAAAGTGCGGCCCCGTAGAGACGGCCTTTTCTACGGATGTCTGGATAGCATCTGCAGGGCACAAACGAGACGAGAAGTAGCCGCAGTCGGTCACAAATGCATGAACGCCGCCCTCCCAATCGGTGACTGGGCAACATCTGTAGCGCACTATGAGGCTGAGAGCTGTTGACACATCGTTCGATGGCAAGGGACAGATTCTTTCAGCTGTTGTAGAGGTCCAAACTGCCACCAAAGAGATTAGTTGCAGTTCCGGTCGTCTTGACGAGATGGTGAGCGACGCGATGCTGCACTTGCACGAAGAGCGACTTGACACGAGTGGACGATTTCGTTTGCCCAGCAGCTCATTTGCTCATCAAAGTGTGGCGCAGACTCTCGAGAGGGATCTGCATGAACAGATCTCCAGCTTTCGTTGCACGTGTTTGCTACGATTCGTCTGTACTGCAAGCGGAACGGTCGACATGCCATCATCTCAACGTTCCATCGAGCACTAGTTGATTGAAGCACGAGAAGTTGGCGTGCGCCTTGTCGTCTGTCAGCACAGATGCATGGGTAAGCGACGCTAGAATCAGGTCACGCAGTGTAGCCGGTCAAGAGTCTGTGCGTCGCACACCCACCCACGCACATGATTTGAAAAGGGCTTTGCGCCGATTCCCACTTCCGGCTGGAGACGCGATGATGCGCTGTGGTCGAGCTTTGCTCGTACGAAGGACTCCAACGACGCCGTGAAATGTTGTTCTTGAGGTCATCACTCGTGGACGACTTGCTGCTCCCGCATGGATCACAACCGAGTGCTGCTTGGAAGAAAACACTGACATGCCCTACAGTTCCTTTGTTTTCCCAGTACCATTACGAGCGAACGAAAAGCAACAAGCCAAGTCGTGCCCTCCTCGCTCGGCAGTGGGCTCTTCTACATTTGGCTGAATCACGTTGCGTCCTCTCCTCGATGGAGAACGAACGGAGCACAATGTCCGCATGTTTGTTGACACGCAAACAATGTCTTCATCACATCTTGTCATCATCGACATCATGCACAACGGGCAGCTCTAGAGGGAGAAGCTGCTGGTTGACGATCGCTTGCCTTTTGGCCCAATACTGCCTACTTCATGTGTTCGTTTGTTTGAACAGTTCCTAAGTGTATTGGTTGTAATCGGAAGTGTGTGTACTTGTGCAAGAATGGACGTTTGAAGTCGCGACCCTCACACGAAGCTGATGTAACTGTCGTACAAAATGCCAGCACGTTTGCTGTCGACACGCGAAGTTTCACATGTGAGTCGGAGACGACAGACCCTCTACATGGACAAAGTAGAGCGGCTATGCCAATGCTTTCATTTCCTCATCTTTCTCGTTGAGAATCCAACCAGGGACAAGACGTTTGCTTCGAACAACTCGCTTGTACCCTGGGCCACCGATTTCTAGACCCCCTGCCATCATGAACGCGTTGTTGCTACCAAGCGCTAAGCACGTTCGAGGAATACTGACTACAAATGGCTTGAGACGAAGACACTATATGTCCGCCATGCTATCTGGCATCAACACATGCGATCGCTTCTCACCCCATCACGATAATGTAGACGACAACGTCGCACTCGGCAGAAGCATGAAAAGTATCGGCCGTGAGCATTGCCATAATCTACACATCACTGCAACGTGCGGCTGTTTGCTACCGTATTTTCACGATATGAGGTCATGTGTCCGCACTGTTGCAATCAGTCGGACTGTGGACGGGTACCGTTCATCACGAGGACTTGGCACAAGTCGCAAGAGTTTGCGGTACGCTCCAACTCAAGCCTTGTTGACATCGTGGACATCGCAAGTAAGGGGACGTTATTCAGTGACAAGTAAGCAAGCGTGCTTGCTTGCAACCCTTTCCTGTGCGAAGCTATACAAGTGGGTGCGGACCGTATGCCAAATGGCACTGCCTCGACTCCGGACGATCCGCGCATCTCGATATGGTCAAAGTGTACAATGACACACATTGGAATCGGGCATTCGGGATCTTCTTTCCAAGACGCTTCATCCCGACGCCTGTTCAGACCACACACACCACTGCCTCCAATGAAATGAAAGGAGTTGAACTCGTCCACATGAAACCGTCAGCTTTGTTGTAGTCACGACCTCGTTCCGAATTTATCTGCAAGTGACAAACGCTGGAAACTGCTCACGCTCATCCCAAGACTTTTTCAAGTGCATACCCTCGGGACCACTCTAATTGTTATCGTCACGCCACGAGGCAATGCTCTTAATAAATGAAGTGAACGGACCAACCAGTCATTCTTGTCGGGTGGTCAGAGTATCCACTTGAGCCCGTGCGAACGAGCCAAGATGCTCTTCTTGATACAGTCGCTCAGCTGACGTTTGAGGTATCAAAGTTACAGATCTTTTCGTGTGGAATGCTTGTTCATGATTGAACTAGGCTAGAAGCTTCGATTTCGTCTGTACGGGAATCTGGCATGTACACGGCTCTTTTTCTTATGATGGCAATGTGACCAGAAGACTGCGTGTTTGAGCGTGATGCGTTTCGTTGCAGGTGGAAGTTCATTGTGATCGATGACAGACACGTCTAGTGAGTGGTGCGCATGTAGTCACAAACATACTGTCAAAAGGGTGGAGACAATCAAATACTGTTCATAACAAATAACGTCACTCGGATATGTACATGCCACTAGACCCATACAACTAGTCTGTACCGTATAAATGTCGGCTCTTCCCCATCCCACGCACTACATAGATACTGCCTTGCTTCGACAATCATAGCAAGTATCTCCACTGCATCAAGTCGAGCCGCAACATGTGCCCAGTCAAGCCGACGCGTGACTTTTATATCTTCGATGAGCCACCTGCACATTTCAGCCCATCAAGAGGTCGGTAGGCATCTTTCTCGTCACCTGTCGCTCAGCGCTTCTCGATACACTTCGTCTTTGGCTCGGGACATGTGTTGCCTCCACAACGAAACGAACGACGTGACTCTTCGGCCGCGACTTGAAACGAAAATCGAGAGCGAAATTCGCGAAGGCCGACGTAGCAATTAGCAGCACTTGTGAACGCAGCAGTCGGCCATATGGTGACGAAGAATTGGACTGCTTGCCGACCTCTTCGTCTCAGGCAACAAGTGCCGACTCATTTGCATCAGCTAATGAGCGCACGAGAGGACGAACATCGCCACACATTGCCACACATTGCAAAATCGCAACCAATGGAAAGATGTGCACACGCACAATCAGCGGTCATGATCAAGTCACGGCCACTCGTCAACACAGTCATGTCCAATAACACTGGCACATTCGGCATCAAACTTGTCGTTAGTACACGCGTTCAAATCTTTGTGCCAGAAAGCCGCCAACATCAGAAACAGAACGACAGCACAGTGGTGCACACGGCGAGCTTGGTACAGGGACGAGAAACTTTGGTCTTCGATGTAACAATCCATGATGATGCAATGACGCCACGAGCAGCCGTTGCCTGTCACAATAAACTTGAGTTGCATGCGACTTAAACAGTACGTTGTGATGAAGCATTGCAGTGGCATACTGGCTCGAGCTTGGACGTGAAAAGCCATCGTCTTTGTACGGACCTCCTGCCGGATCCGCGTGTGCAACGAGTCAGACATGAACCTCTAGCACTTAGAGGACGGTCTTGACTGCAATGAGCGTGGGAATGGCCGAATGTCGGCGACTTTTGTACTTGCGACAACTCCCATGACCGCCACGCGAACCGTGCCGCCAACATCATCTACGACCGAATGCAGAATGTGCTGCTATGTAGCAGCAAAAGCACACGTGTTCTTTTCCGATGCAGCTTGTTGCGAGAAGCCACTCACTCTCCGTACAAGTGCTCAAGCAAACTCTTGTGCGTGTGTTCAAGGAATCGGGCAACGCATGCTTGGGAATTCGCAGCAGTGTCAAGGCTGATCGGGGTATCAGACGCAGCGAGTACTACGACGACGGGCGCTTTTCCATCTTCACCATCGAGCAAAGTCACGCGCAAGTCACTCATGCGGTTCGTCGAAAAGAATGCTGCTGTAAACTCGAGACGCAGTACGATAATCCGCAGTGGAGCTTGCGCATTCAACTGCTCCTGCAGCATGAAAAACACTTGCGAAAAGTCAACAGCGTCGTATTCTAACACTGCAACTCATGTAAACAGAATTAGCTGAAGCATGAATGATTGCCGCTGTGTTTGGGCTAGCTCATAACCGCACTTACCTACAGCATAACGACGTAGGTCTCCAATAAAGTCCTTCCGCCTCTTCCATTGCTGCAATACCATCTACACAAATCCAATGCAAACAAGTAATTACCTTGTCCATGTCCAGCTCAAGTCGGGTAAGAAAAGCAGCATCTACCTTTTTGCATGAATCAATCAGCTCGACGGAAGACACTGTCCTGCTTGACGCTGGAAGTTGCGTCACCTGACTTGACAGCAGCATTCGAGCAGGCCATTCAATAACTACGGGCCACGAGCCGTCATCAACCTCCGTCTTCTCGTCATTGTCCAGCGGGTATCCAATACAAATCGTCAACTGTTCCGTCGCAGTGCAAAAGTTAGGACCAGCAAAGCTTGCAGGGAGATACACCGCCTCGACATCCTCAACGTCGACCAACGTTCTTGTCAAGGTCCATGCTGCATTCTCGCCAAACAACGGCACTGCAAACCGCACACAATGGCCACCCGTTCTCAAATGCTTCAACACGACGACGTCCAAGTCCGCACACTGCTGCAACAGTTTGTGCTCGACCTTTGCTCGTTGCGACGTCGACGCGTGAAAAGTCTACAGTGGGTAAAAACACCGCCCGTCAATTGTCACACAAACAGACACATCCAATCTCCTCGTTGCAGCAGCACTCTCTCTCTTCTCTCTCCACGTACCTGCACTTGCACCGCGTGGAAAGCGTCCACCAACACCTGCGCCACGTCCTCCAGCGCGTTCGCCAGCTCGTCACGGGACAACGCCCCGGCGCCGTCAGACCAATTGCTCGACAGCTTCCACTGCAGTGTGTGAGCGTTTTGTCGTACAGCTGTCAGCACTTTTTCTGACACTGTCGCATCCACTTCCCCGTCAATAAGTCGGCCTCCACCCGTTGCTGACTCGTCCAGATACACACTCACACAATGTACTGCACACAACAGTCGATCAAAAGGAACGCAGCCCATTAGTGCCGTACACCGTGACACAACGTGTGCATGCGGGCCATTTCGTCGTGCAATTATTATATCGTGCGTACAAATTTCGCCTACCTTGGCCCGCCCATCCGCGGTCTCCGGTCGTCCAAATGTCCGCACGCGCCGCCACCCAGACCTGCTGTGCGTACAACACCTCCACCAGCCCCGCAAACAGCTGTCTGTTCGCCGTCTCGCGCGTCGGCGTCGTCACGGACGACTGTCCAGTCGTGCGGATGACGCTCGCGCGCGCCGTGTGCACTGGCGCGCACTCTGCGACGCGCACGACGCGTCGAGCGATCCGCGTGCGCTCCATCTCGTGCCGCGTGCGTACAGCCGTGTCAAAACCAGGTGCGATCACGACATAATGTACCAGCGCGCACCGGTATGGTGGGGTTTTAACAACCCCACGGTACCTCTATACCGTTATTTTATTCCAACGCACGGTCTCTCTCGCTCGCGCCTTCCCTTTGGCTCGTTACACTGCTGGCTGCGACCGCAGAAACCTGTCGAAACCCATCCCCCCGTGCACGCGCATGCGTTCTCGCAGGTCCACCCGTCGCACTACTGGCGGAAGAAAAAGGGAGGAAAACGAGCGAAGAACCCGCGAGCGACCGAGTGAGTGAGTGAGTGAGCGACGGCCCGCCGCGCGCTGACTCCTGACCGACCGACAGACAGACAGACGGACAGGTCACTCACCTACGCAGCCACACACACACACACACACGTGAGTGCACATCTCGAGCGCCGTCGCGTGTGTGTCTCTCGCTCGCGCTGTCGTCGTCCCCCTCCCACTCGATCCCCTTTGGCAGCGGTCCGTCCCCCGCTTGCGCAGAGACCCGCAGCGACTGCGACGCTGCAGCATGAAGGGCATGCTCCAGACCGTGAAGCGCAAGCTCAGCACGAACGGCGAGCACGGGGCCAGCGCGCTGGACCGCATGGACGCCGACAGCAGCAGCGCGGGCGCCCACCGCGCCGCGCTGTCGCCCACGAGCGACGTGGCGCTGCCCAAGCGCGAGCGCCGTCGGTCGTTCCTGGCGCGCACGCAGAAGATCCAGGCGCTCAAGGACCTGCCGCACCTCAAAGACACGGCGCTGCCGCGACGAGAGGCGCTGTTCCAGCAGAAACTCGAGCTCTGCTCGGTGCTGTTTAACTTTGACGACCCCATGTCGGACAAACGGTACAGACTGCTGTGGATGTGTTGTGTGTGTTTTGCATGGGGGAGGGAGAGAGGGGGAACCGTGGAGGAGGAAGAGGTGGTGGGTGGTTTGTGTGCGTGTGGTGGGTGAGGGGACTCACGTGTTTGGGTGTTGTGCTGTGTTGTGTTGTGGGTGCAATGGGGGCTGGCAAATGGGTCTTTTGTGTCGCTTGCTGCCTCTCTCTCTCTCTGTCTCTTGCGTGTGCTGGCTGTTGTTGTGTCTAGGGGCAAGGATCTAAAGCGCCAGACGCTGTTGGAGCTAGTGGATTACGTGAACAATCCTGGTGGCCAGAAGATTTTCACGGAAGCGCTGATGCCGGATGTGATGGCCATGGTGTCGGTCAACATTTGCCGTGCTCTGCCGCCGCAGACGGAGGACTTTGATCCCGAAGAGGACGAGCCTGTCCTGGAAGCGTCGTGGCCACATCTTCAAGTGGTGTATGAGTTTTTCCTGCGCTTTATCGTGTCGGGCGAGGTGAATGCAAAAGTGGCCAAGAAGTACGTGGACCAGAAATTCTGTCTCTCGATCATTGATCTGTTTGACAGTGAAGACCCGCGCGAACGGGATTACCTCAAGACGATTTTGCACCGCATTTACGGCAAGTTTATGTCGCACCGGTCGTTTATCCGCAAGGCAATCAGCAATGTGTTCTATCGTTTCGTCTACGAGACGGAGCGCCACAATGGCGTGGGCGAGCTCTTGGAGATCTTGGGCAGCATCATTAACGGCTTTGCGATGCCTCTGAAGGCGGAACACTTGCAGTTTCTGGTGCGTGCGCTCGTGCCACTGCACAAACCAAAGTGCGTATCAATGTATCATCAGCAGCTTTCCTATTGCATCACTCAGTATGTAGAGAAGGATCCCGAGACGGCGGTGCACATCATCAAAGGCATCATCAAGTTCTGGCCGTGGTCGTGCTCGTCAAAGCAAGTGATCTTTTTGAACGAGTTGGAAGAGATCCTGGAGCTCATGGGCAGCGAACAGCTGCAAAAGGTGCACAAGCCACTGTTTAGCGGTTTGGCCAAGTGGCTCGGCAGCCAGCACTTTCAGGTGTCAGAGCGGTCGCTGTTTTTGTGGAATAATGAACACCTCGTCAATAACGGTTGCCTGAGCAAGCAGCACGCACACTTGATCTTGCCAGTCATATACGGCCCTCTCCATAGAAACTCACTGGGACACTGGAACACTACTGTTGAAGGACTCGCCCAGGTATGTTTGGCCGTTCTTGCTTGCGTTGTTGTCGTTTGTTCGCTTAGTGACAAGTTGCTGTCGCTATGTAGAACGTGTTGAAACTCTACATGGACTACGACATGGCACTATATGACCGCTGCGCCAAGGATTATTCGCTGAAAGAGCAAGCTATGGCGGACATGAAGGAAAAAGAGCGCGAGAAATGGCGGAAAATAGAGATGATGGCAGCAGCAAAGGCTCCATCGTCAACGGCCTAGTTGCATCGCTCCACCGATCGGATCGGGAGCGAGCGAGGCCTATGCGGGGGTCAACCTACGCACACCCAATAGTAGCGACGTGGGTCGACATGGACAGAGAGAGAGAGAGACACGAAGGAGACGGAAGCAAAGAGGCGACACGATGGCTGTACCAGGAACAGGCTGGACTGAAGGCTCCGCGCGGCCGCGGCTTTCGCTTGCAATGTCCTACAGCGCTCGTCACGCTGGTGGGCGCAGGAGGCCGATTCGCAACAACACATGACCGAAGGTGGCGGGCGGACGAGCAGGTTTGATAGGTTTTCGATTGCATTTCGATAGCACGAGACAGCTGCGGTTGCGGCGACGGCGAACGTGGACAAGTGCAAATGAGGTGGACGTTTGCATGGCGGTGCTTTGGTGTGCTGTTCCTGTTCCTTGTGGTGCACCGACGGAAGCAGCCGCAGCAGCAGACCGAGACGTAGCTTGATTACCAATCACAGTCTCTATTCGTGGGTACATTTGACGCTTGGCCGGGTAATCATCGTCTTGACTGACTGATGGCCGCTGTGCCAGAGGGTTATGTGCACCACATCTGCTACACAACTTGTACGTAGAATCACTGCCCACCACAGAAGTCGTCCAGCCCGAGAGACAAATGGTGCGCGTGTGGCTCCGCCCCTGCGTGTCTGCGATCACTGGTACGTGCGGTACTGCAGTGCCTTTGAGCTGCTGCTGCTGTGTCTGTGCCCTCTGCTTATGGTGGGTGCATTCCTTGCGCTGCGTTTGTACAGCACTCGGCCGTCGTGGCGGTCCGACGATCGCTGGGCTGCGGGTCCAGACTTCACGCTCATTGGCTGGATACAATGATTCGGGTCTTGTGATTGGTGGTATTCGCTCGATGGGTACAAAAGGCAAAGACGATGGCAAGAAAGGTGGGTTGATGATGTTTGGCGTATCCGAACAAGAGAGAGAGAGAGAGGCGTCAAGTGGTGTAACGTTTTGTGTGGGGGAGTGATGCAGAGTTCAAGAAAAAGTCGACGTTTGACAAGGTGGAGGTGGACGACGAGGACCTGGCCGAGCTGCCGGATGAGGTGAAATACCTGAGTCAGGAGCTGGACAAGGAGATGTTTACGGTCGTGGAAGACGACGAGGACGAGGACGAAGAGGAGGAGGAGGAGGAAGAGGACGCAGAACTGAGTCCTGCCGAGTGGGCCAACAAGTTTGAGCGAGAGGTGGCCGAGTGGGACCAGGAGGAGCGAAACGCTGATGAGGAGGACGGCGAGTACGTTACTGGGGCTACGGACGTTGAAGACGACCGGCTGTATGTTGAGATGCCCGGGTACGACGCGTCGCTGAGCCTCGCGGAGAGTCAGATTGGAGTGAGCGAAGATACGAACGTTCCTGATCCATTCCAGCACTGGGACCAGGGCATGGCGTAAGTCTTTACCGCGTGTTTCGTTTGCTTGCTCACTGCTGTGCGTGGTTCGAGACTCATGCGCGAAAGTCTTGCGATGTTGTGTGTAGTATTGCGCCCGAGATGCTGAACTGGATGTTGCCCGCGGAGAAGAGGAAGCCGTTCAAGAAGGACAAGACGAAGCCATGGAAGTACTTTGTGGCGGCCAACCATCCCGACGTGGTGGAACTGGCGCTTGACGTGGATCTGCTGCGTCTCTTTATCTCGCCCACGGGACGCATCCGTCCTCGCCGGTTCACCGGTCTGACTGCCAAGCAGCAGCGCAGATTGGCACAGGCGATCAAGATCTCTCGTCAGCTCGCGTTGCTGCCGTACCTGTCGCGGTATCCCGAGCCCTCTCCGGAGCAGTGGAAGGCTATCGACGACGAGATCATTGCGGCTGCTGAACTGGAGGAAGACAACGACGACGGTACGGACGACGACGACGACGAGGATGAGGGCTTTGATGAGGATTTCGAGTATGATTAGAAATAGACGAGAATGCGCGAGCGGCCGAAGTGCTCTCCATGTGCGGCGCAGTCCGAAGTGGCATAGACAGACAGACAGGCAGACAGACAGACAGACCGGGCAGATGAGCCCGTGCATGTGCAATGGCTCACTCACGGGCGATGGGTAAACACAAACGCAAGAGCGACTGGTTGTCGGTACTGCAAATCCTGACCGTCACACTGGAGCTGACAGATACCGTCTGCTGCTGCTGCTTGCACTCGTCTCGACACGTGCCTCAACGTGCATTCGACCAGATGGAGGGCATTTAAGATACGCACGACGGACTATCATGAAAGGCACACACAAACACAGGAAGTTACACGCGCACAACGCTTTCTGTTTCAAGTGGGGCGTATCAAGTTAGCTGGTCGACCACAAACCCGCTTGCGTTCTTGCTGCTCGCAACTTCCACTCGCATGCCGCCCACTAGACACTGCTTTCTTCCATCGACAGAGGTTACTTCTCGGCACTGCATGTTCCGCCAGGTAACTTACTCGTCCAGCTCGGCCGCGAGAGCGGTCGCCTTGGCCTTCACCTCTTCAATGCCGCCCACCATGTAGAACGCAGCCTCGGGAAGGTCGTCGTAGTTGCCGCTGATAATGTCCTTGAACGAAGAGATCGTGTCGACGAGCGGCACAAACTTGCCTGGCTTGCCCGTAAACACCTCGGCAACGTGCAGCGGCTGCGACATAAACTTCTGCACCTTTCGCGCACGAGCCACCGTGAGCTTGTCGTCTTCCGACAGCTCGTCCATGCCCAAAATGGCAATAATGTCCTGCAGACCCTTGTAGTCCTGCAGCAGCTTCTGCGTCGCACGCGCCACGTCATAGTGCTCCTGGCCAATAATGCGAGGGTCCAGCATACGTGACTTGGAGTCAAGCGGGTCCACAGCAGGGTAGATACCCAGCTCGGAAATCTGACGAGACAGCACCGTCGTCGCGTCCAAGTGAGAGAACGTCGTGGCCGGTGCCGGGTCCGTCAAGTCGTCAGCCGGCACGTAAATGGCCTGCACCGACGTGATCGATCCCTTCTTCGTCGACGTGATGCGCTCCTGCAGCGCGCCCAGATCCGTCGCGAGCGTCGGCTGGTACCCCACGGCCGAGGGAATGCGCCCCAGCAGCGCCGACACCTCGGAACACGCTTGCGTGAAGCGGAAAATGTTGTCCACAAAGAGCAACACGTCCTGTCCTTCCACGTCGCGAAAGTACTCGGCCACGGTCAGGCCCGTGAGCCCCACGCGCGCACGCGCACCAGGGGGTTCGTTCATCTGCCCGTACACGAGCGCAGCCTTCGAGCCCGTGGTCGTGCCGTCCTCGTTGATCTTAATCACGCCCGACTCGATCATCTCGTAGTACAGGTCGTTGCCCTCGCGCGTGCGTTCGCCCACGCCGGCAAACACCGACACGCCGCCGTGGTTGTTGGCCACGTTGTTAATGAGCTCCATGATGACCACCGTCTTGCCCACGCCGGCGCCGCCAAAGAGGCCAATCTTGCCGCCTTTCGCGTACGGCGCCAGCAGATCGACGACCTTCATGCCCGTCACGAGGATCTCAGCCCCCGAGCCCTGTTCCGTCAAGAGAGGCGCCGAGGCGTGGATCGGGGCGTAGCGCTTGGCGTTGATTGGGCCGCGCTCGTCCACGGATTCGCCAATCACATTCATGATGCGCCCCAAAGTTTCGGGGCCCACGGGCACCTACGATACAGCATACCGACCACACACAGCAACCGTTAGTTACGGCTTTGGGTGTATCCCGACCACGATCCACTTTCAACTCCTTTGTCATAGACGACAATCACCCCATCCCCCCCCGTCCCCCCATCCCCTAATCCCCCTCGTACCATGATGGGGTTGCCCGTGTCCACGCACTCTTGGCCGCGCACGAGGCCGTCCGTGCCCTCCATAGCGATCGTGCGGACCGTGTTCTCGCCCAGATGCTGCGCCACCTCCAGCACAATGCGCGTGTCGTCCGGCGTCTGGATCTCCAGCGCGTTCAGAATCGGCGGCAAATTGTCCTTAAACTGCACGTCCACAACGGCGCCAATGATCTGCGTGATCTGTCCGACCGACGCAGTGGCTTTCTTGGCGTCGGTCGCCAGCGCGCGCGCGCCGCGCAGTGCAGAGCGTCCCACGCGTGACAACATGAGGAAAAGGCGGTCGAGCGACGGCAGCGACGGGAGCGGACGGGCGAGAAAGCGATCGCGCGACTCGGAGCGGCTGCAGGGGAAGCAGAAATGAAGACCCCCGCGAGGGCGTAACAAACCCCCACCGGCGGCCGCGAGGGGGGAACCAATGAGGACCACACACGCCGGTTGACTTGGCGTTTGTAGGCCACGAGCGGCTGGCGCGGGCGTACTTAGGCCGGCGGAAATCGAGGCGAGTGCTCATTGGACAAAATCGCAATCCAGCCGATTAGGTACGCCTGGATAGTTACTCGAGAGAGAAGTTGCGCGGGTCCGGATGGACGTGGAAACCCGTTTTGCGACCTGCGCGGGGGCTACGATTGCAATATTTACAAAGTAGGCCACGGGTTACGTGTGTTCATAGCGTGTTGGAACCCCATGTCGTCTGCCGTGGGTTGCAATGCGCGCTCACGATACAAAGTGGTTCATCACATGCTTTCGCCAACGTCAAACAGTGTACGTGCGCGTGCAACACGTGAGAGGTTTGGGACATCAATGCAAACGAAGAGACGCAACTGGAAAAGTATTACTCCGACAAAGTCCACAATCAGTCAGTATGTCGGATGGGGATACACACACAGATAGGCAGACACAGACCGGCAGACGTCATACCTCTCCATCCATCTATCCATCTTCCCCCAACTCGCTCGAATCGACCAGTGCGCTCACGCATCGTGTACATGAGACGCACGCGCACTCCACTTCGTCCCATCGCTCGATGCAATCGATGGCTGGCACTGACACAGATAAATCGCGCAATTTCTGTACTTGTCCTTTATTTGGTAGTAGCAGCAACGCTCCATGACTCGATCCTCCGTCACATCGGTCCTTGCGCCTGCAAGCGGTGTTCTAAGGCTGCCCACTTGAGTCGGCGTTGTTCTGTCGTCTGCTGCGCTCTACGACTCACACACAAACGGCGTTAGTGACGCCACTGGTACACCACTTGCACCAACATGCTCACACGCTCACCGTCCTTCCCGCTCTTCAAACTGCGCCGAGCACTGATCAAACAGCTGTGAGTCCATTTCCATAAACAGCTTGAGCACGTTGTACGTCAACGTCTGCACAGTGCTGTGCCAGTGGTTCTCGCAATTGCGGTACAGCGCCCCAAAGATCAATGGCAGGATCTCAGCCCGCCGCGCACTGACAAGCCGCACCAGTGCCTCGTTGTTCCATAAATATAAGGCACGCTGAGAGACTTGGAAGTGACTGCTGCACACGGCTTGCGATATTCGCAGAAACAGCGGCCGCATCACAGCGGCAAACTGTTCGATCTGAATCATCTCGATGATCTCCTCGAGCTCATTCAAAAAAAGAATCTGTGCGGCACATGCACACCACGAAATACAAATTAGTCGGCCTGTACTCCCAAACGAGCAAATTGCCATAAACGAGCACACGGGACCTCCTTGGCACTTGCAGTCACCGGCCAGAACTTTAGCAGCCCCAGAATTATCGGTTCCGAGGTCTGAGGGTCTTTCTCCACGAACTGCGTGGTGCAGTACGCCAATTGCTGGTGAAACATGGCCAGGTTTCCTGCCTGTCCGCCAAAGTGTCCACGCAGCACGTTAGTCTTCTTCGTGTACACACCATCGCATGCGTAAACGTCCGTACTGTATGTAGCGGAATCAACGCGCGCTCGAGGAAGTTCTGGTGCTCTGGCTTCAGCGGCAGAGCGAAACCGTTGATGATACTGCATCCGCAGGACCAAGACGATCCACAACCAATTGTCGAGTACACAAGACACACAACGCAGCACTTTCAATGCCAGTGCAAAGTACGCTACCATGACGGTGTGCGCATGCAACGCACCTTCCTAGAATCTCCAGCAGCTCGCCTACACCCTGTAGCGATTCCGTCTCGTACACGAACGTGTAGAACATGTCATTGATCGAGCGTCGGATGAACGAACGCAGCGCCATCGACTTGCCATAGATACGATGCAGAATCGTCTGCACCCCGCAGCCATCAAACAACACGCACACAATGCACAGAAAAAGTCCGTCAGCACCATTAGAACTTGCCGTCTGCAGCTATTAAACGCAGCAGCACGTGCAGCAGCACTACACCGCTGGTCCTGTAGCCAACCTTCAAGTAGTCGCGCTCCCTCGGATCTTCCGAGTCAAACAGATTCAGCAGTTTGATCATGAACCGTTTGCTGAAATAGTCCTTGGCGGTCCGCGAGTCCACTTCCTTCGACAGCACAAAGCGGAGCAAGATCTCGTAGACCAATTGCATGTGCGGCCACGACGGCTCGAGCATCGGCTCATCGTCTTCCGGCGCCGCTACAACAACAGCAACAAAACGACCGCATTGTCAGCAGAAACAGCCACCACAAGTCCATCTTTTTCTTCTCCCTCTCCCTCCCCCCATACATTTACACACAGACACACATTTACACACACAGACAGACAGAAAAAAGAAGAAGAAGAAGAAGAAGAAGAAGAAGAAAAAAAAAAAAAAAAAAAAACAGACAGACAGACAGACAGACAGACAGACAGACAGACAGACCTTCGACGTTGCCATTCGCATTAATTACTGAGGCGTTGAGACTGCGGCCCAAGTGGCGAAAGATGTTCACGCCGACGCACTCGAGCAGCTCCGCGACCACCGACGGGTCCCACGCGACTTTGCTCGCGGAAATGTACTCGACGACCTGCAGCAGCGCGTTGCGCTTGGCCTCTTTCTCGCGCACGTGTTTGCGCATGTCGCTAAAGTCGTACAGCACGCAGCAGAGCTTGAGCTTCTGGCGGAACAGACGCATGCGCTCGCTCGGCGGCACGTCCTCGAGCGCCGGCAGCTCCGCGAGCTTCAGTGACCCACTGGACGTCATGACCCGCCCGCCCTGCGATCTCTCGGCGCTGCTGCTGCTACTGCTGCTGCTGCTACTGCTACTGCTACTGCTGGCGTGGCGACGGGGGAGCCGGGGGTCGACGTGGGGGGGTGGCTTGGCGCAACCTTCGCGCAACCTTCTCGCAACGCGAAGCCGCCCCGGCGACGCGCGAGTAAGTACGACGGCCAACGACGCCGCGCACTGGGCGACAAACAGGACACGCAAAACGCGACGTGTGTGACGAGGCAACAGACGAACCGAATGGCTCGAGACGGCCGATGTGTGCGAGTTGTGAAGCTGTGATCGGTGGAGGGAGAAAGCAGAGCAAGCGCTGGAGGTCGCGAGCCCGTCGTTTGGTGTTGTCGCTCTGGTTTAGAGGAGTGAGTGAGTGAGTGAGTGAGACGAGTGACGGCTGACGTGTCCGCATTGAATGAAATCAATGGGAGCGGCGATGGGGATGACGACGACTCGTGCGTTGATAAGGGGAGATGCACCACAGTGGGGACGCTGCAGTTGGCGCGGGATGCGGTGACGTCCGTCGTTGGCGCTGGCGCTGGGGAAGAACACGATGAGCGAAGAGGGGACAATGGCCGACTTTGTCTGTACGACAACAACAACAAGAGCGACACTAGCGAAGTGTTGCCGCCGATATGGACTTGTTGGCAGAGGGGGCGATAGTCCGGGCGCTCTATCCACCGCCAAGCGAGGAAGGCACGACTTGGCTTGTTGCTTTTCGTTCGCTCGTAATGGTACTGGGAAAACAAAGGAACTGCAGGGCATGTCAGTGTTTTCTTCCAAGTGGCACTCGGTTGTGATCCATGCGGGAGCAGCAAGTGCTCCACGAGTGATGACCTCGAGAACAACATTCCACGGCGTCGATGGAGTCCTTCGTACGAGCAAAGCTCGACCACAGCGCATCATCGCGTCTCCAGCCGGAAGTGGGAATCGGCACAAAGCCCTTTTCAAATCATGTGCGTGGGTGGGTGTGCGACGCACAGGCTCTTGACCGGCTACACTGCGTGACCTGATTCTAGCGTCGCTTACCCATGCATCTGTGCTGACAGACGACAAGGCGCACGCCAACTTCTCGTGCTTCAATCAACTAGTGCTCGATGGAACGTTGAGATGATGGCATGTCGACCGTTCCGCTTGCAGTACAGACGAATCGTAGCAAACACGTGCAACGGAAGCTGGAGATCTGTTCATGCAGATCCCTCTCGAGAGTCTGCGCCACACTTTGATGAGCAAATGAGCTGCTGGGCAAACGAAATCGTCCACTCGTGTCAAGTCGCTCTTCGTGCAAGTGCAGCATCGCGTCGCTCACCATCTCGTCAAGACGACCGGAACTGCAACTAATCTCTTTGGTGGCAGTTTGGACCTCTACAGCAGCTGAAAGAATCTGTCCCTTGCCATCGAACGATGTGTCAACAGCTCTCAGCCTCATAGTGCGCTACAGATGTTGCCCAGTCACCGATTGGGAGGGCGGTGTTCATGCATTTGTGACCGACTGCGGCTACTTCTCGTCTCGTTTGTGCCCTGCAGATGCTATCCAGACATCCGTAGAAAAGGCCGTCTCCACGGAGCCGCACTTTCGGCTCTCTCGACATTCTCAACTGCATACTAAAGTAAACAGACGGTCGTTGCCCATTGCTACTTCCGATCATACGTCCGAACAACAGAAAGCACGTGCCGAATGCAGCGATCGGACTGCACGACGGACGACGGCCGCACTGCGTCGGACTTTCTCAGAGCTCCTACTTTGCCATTCCCACATTTGCTCTGCCCCCGTCACTCCTCAAGTTCCACTCGCGAGCAATGCGTCTTCTCCACGCAGTGCTCCTGTCTGTCGTCATTGTCTTGGCGCTCGACGTGGGTCTGCTGCAAGCCCGCGCACTCGATGACGACGAGACGGATGTCTCTGCTGGCGACGTCCATCCATCACGTGGGACCGCCATCGACGAAGAAAGCCGTTCTTTATTTCCTCCAAGTTTCACTGCCTACTTGAAGAGCTTCTTCGGCAAGATGTTCTCAACGTCAACGTATAACCTGTCGAAAGTGAGAGCGCAGAGGCGAGCCGCTCGTCTGCAGAAAGCAAACGCTAAAGCTGCTAGAGTGGAAGCAGCTCGTCTGGCGAACGAAAGAGCTGCAGTAGAGAAGAGCATGCATTTCGAGATCGACAAACTAGTGGAAAAGTGGAAAAAGGCGAAGAGGTCGCAGAAGCAGGATGACAAAAGCTCTCCTTATGACATCTTACAGACTAAAGAATTCCTGGAGGCGCTCAAATTTATGGAGAAGGCGAATATGAGTCGTGGGCCAAAAGATAGACTTGACATGTTTGAGTTACTGCATAAAAAAAACGTTGAACTGGCACCGTTAGCTAAGGAAGCTGCCCGGAAAGGTGGTGTGCGGACGACGACCGCTGGAGGGGACTTAAAGGCATTTTCGGGGAAGAAGCAGTCCGAAGAGGCCATGCCACTGTCGGGGGGGGCTAGAACTTTCGCAGGCCGCAGAAAAGCAGTTGCCCTGAGGGTGATTGTGTAAGATGAGGTAGAGCAACGTGGTCACCGACTCTTATTCTTTGATTTGATATACACAGTCTTTGCGCTTGCGCTAGCTTTGTACTTGGTCTCGAACTTTGACAGTTGAGCATCGAGTGTGTGCATTGCAAACTCAGTTCTCTTCATTTCTGGCCTAATATCTCGATGGCCGTCGTGTGTCCATTTTAGCAGCTCTTCGCGCCTTCCGCGTCAAGTATGGGTATGCTTCTGACCAGGTTCATGTCCTTAACGATGCAGAGAATGTCGACCTCGCTCGCTTCAGTGTCGCTCTAAGTAGTCGATCACTCAATCCATCATCTCAGCTGTCGGCCACGTGGTGCCGAACGGTCTCACAAACATCAAGACGGTCCCTGTTAGGGACACTTCCAGCTATACTAAACGCTGAAAAGCTGGTACAAGAAGCTCCAATCGTATGCGCTGCATAATTGTCAGTAGCTGCTCAAATAGTTGAGCTGCTGACACAGTACGAAACAACGTCAGCCAACTTGTTTATAGAACTTGTTCTTCCGTTGAGCTGCCCACATAAAACATGGATTTCTGTCAAGGTGGGAAAAACCTGCTCGACGAGCCCATGCTTTCTACCTGCTTTACGACTCTTGTGACGTGTGCTATCCCATTACGCGACAGCACCATGTTGACCAAGGAAACGACGTCAAGTGCAGTGGTGTCACAAGTGAGCTGTCCTGAAGTACACACGTGTACTGGTGGCGTCGCGCAAGAGTAAACGGTAGCTTTTTGCTTCGAGAGAGAAGAGGTAACTCTGGCCCGCGCACTTGTCCTTGGATACAAGTAGTCCAGTCCAGAGAAGTGAGACGAGCGATAAGATCCTGTAACATATTGGATCAATGGCTTTTCGTCTAATCGCGTGGGTGCTTGCGTGTGTATGCGAGCTACAGGCTCTAGACCTGTCGTGTAACGGGGCACACCCTTGCGTAACTTAACGCAAGGGATTTGGGTGCCCCGACGGACGTACACGTGGCGAGCGAGGAAGCGTAGGTAGGGTAAAAGTAGAACTGTTATATTAATAAATTAAGTCTTTAAACTACTGTCTCTTCGTTTGACTTAATTCAATTATACTAATATAACTGCATGTATGGTGACGTCTCGTCACCACTCATTGCGCGCGTCTTGCGGCGATTGGTGGGTTGATATCATCACGATATCAACCAATGAACAGACCCTTTGGTCGACCCTTCAATATCACCACTTTGGTGATATTGTTTAAAGAATATCCATCTTATATTCTTTATTGTCACTTTCCTTAAGTGACAATATCATGTAACGGGCTGCCCCGTTACATGTCGCTTTCTCAATCCGTGCAATGGAGAGCAGCCGCACTCACTGGCCACGCACGGAAACATACCTTAAGAAAGAAAGAAAGAAAGAGAGAGAGAGAGCTGTCTTCAGCCGACGTGGCTCGCCGCCGATCTTGATCAAAGAATTCGCCACGTTGCAGGGAAAGACGGTCGTGCCCGACGTGTAAGATGGTGACCAAACCGACACCTGGTCTCTTGTCGTCCAAGACGTGGGTGGCGGTGGCCTTGTTTCGACTGGCGTCGTAGATCCTGCGGTCGTTGTCGCTACGACGTGGTGCAAAGCTGTGTGCTTGAGTACAGTCTCTCTGTCGCATGGACGACCAAGAAGGTGTCAGGGGCTCTATCATACGCGAGCACCACCGCGTTGAAAAAAAAACATGTGCGCGAGTAGTGGTGGAAGGATAGAGCACGGCAGCCACGTGGGCAGCTCTCTCTGCGTGTGTGTATTCTGGCTATCGAGTAAACAGCAGTCAGTGCTTGGCGCCACGTACTGCGCGTCGTGCCAGGAACACAGCGGCCACGGGACAACTGTCGCCTTGGGCCACATCTGGCAATGGTTTTTTCCATGCTTTGACCAGCTTTCGTCCAGCCGTTTGCTGGAAAAAGGTGGGCAGCAAACGGCTGGTCGAAAGCTGGTCAAAGCATGGAAAAAACATGGTGCAACGAGGTGGGCAGCAACCACGTTCCTGATCCCGACAACGCAGGACGCGATCGTCGAGTCGTCGGTACGGTCGTTCGTTGCCTTCTCCTGTGCTGCAACTCGTTTTTCAGTCTCCATATGCTGCCGTTTGCTTGATCGCTCAGTTATGCCTTCACTCAATCACGGCCTCCGTTCCCACAGTAGGACAGCGCTCGCAACACCACACCACCACCACCACCAGTGATCAAAACAATACCACCACCACCACCACCACCACCAGTGATCAAAACAATACCACCACCACCACCAGTGATCAAAACACCACCGCCACCACCACCAGTGATTAAAACAAGCCACGAATAATACCAGAAAAAAACAACCGTCAGGCAGAAGACCATCATCGGCAACAAGAGCATGTCACCCCCGAATAAGTACACCACCACCACCTGGAATCAGAACAACGAGCGACTCGACTGCCAGACGGCCAAACCAATTGTTGTCGCGCGGGCACCTTCTGTCACGACGCGCGCGCACTCGGCCTCGTTCAGTCCGCCATTCCCCACGTTCGCGCGACATTCCCCACGTTCGCGCGACATTCCGCATGCACTCCGCGCCTCGGGCGTCGCTGTCGCGCCGCTTTGACGCGCAGGGCGCCGACCTGCCGCTCGACCGCACCGACGCTGTCGGCCCTCTCGTCGATGTCGAGCAGCGCGCGCCGCAGTCGGTCGCCGCGTCCCGACGGGAATGCCGCCTGACGGCCACCTTCGCGCAACCTGACCAGACGTACCCCCTTCCGCCGCCCGCGAGCAGCTCCGCCCAGTCCCATTCCATTGGCCTCTGCGCTCCGCCCCACCGCGTAGGCCGCAGACGAGGCGATAGCAGAGACCGTTTCGACGGCGACGTGGACGACGACGTGGCAGTCGCCTATGCTCGTGCCGTCGACGACGCGACTCAGAACCTGACTCAGAAATTCACTCCGACTCAGAAACCGACTTTGGTGTTGACGCCGACTCAGATGCCGACGCCGACTCAGAAATCGACGCCGACTCAGAAAATGACTTTGGTGTTGACGCCGACTCAGATGCTGACGCCGACTCAGATGCCGACTATGACGGCGATTGAAGCAGTCGCTCCCGTGTGTCGCTGTCGCCGCTTCGACGGCGCGAAGCCGTTCTCAGCGCCAGGCGACGGCGCTCTACCGCCCGCGCGGTCCGACCCGTCGAGCGCTTACGCCGACGCGCGTCTGCGCTACGCTCTGGTCGTGCGCGTCGCGAGCGTCGAGTCGGTGCAGCACCGCGTGCGCGTGCGCCTCAAAGTGTCGGACGCCGAGACGCAGCAGCGCTGGGAACTCGACAAGACGCTCGAGGACATGACGTGCTTTGTCGCGCACGTGCAGCGCGTGGGCCTCGAGCACGCGCCCGTCAAGCGGCCACTCTGGGGCGCGTTTCGGGGGCTGCAGCGCTTTCGGCTGCCGACGGTGCGCTTTGCGTTCCGCGGCGCGACGCTCAACGCCCAGCGGCGCGTGCTGTTTGACGCGTTCTTGCGGCAGACTGCGGCGCTGGTCGCGCCGGTGCCGCTGGGGCCGCGACGGCTGCAGGCGGTGCTGTCGCTGCAGGAGTTTGTGGACGTGCAACGGCATTGCGGAGCGCTGAGTCGGCGGCCCGACACGTGCATTTGCCGCACGAACGACGTCATGGCGTCGCACCTGGTGGCGTCGCTCTTTGCAGCGTCGGACCATCGCGTCCCGCGCGCGTGCGAGTCGTTTGTGCGCGCACTGACGCAGACGTACGTGGACGACAAGCGCGCGTTCCTGTCGAAGCGCAAAGCACGAACGCTGTTGGACTCTATAGCGAGCAAGATGGGCGACATTACGCGCGACATGCTGCAGGACCAAGTGCTGCTGGGCCAACTTGCTGTCGCGCGGCTGGAGCGCTCCGAGTCGGACTATTACGAGTTCCTCGACGAGGTGAAGCACGCAGTGTGCGGCTTTGTGCAGCAGCGCGTGCTCGTGGCGCTGGAAGATCATGTGCTCGAAGCATTGCACACGCTGACGGACTGGGACGAGGAGCTGGCGCTGAAAAATAAGATCAAGATGCTGCAAACGAAGCCGCAGTCGTTTTTCGGCGTGCCGTCTCATATTGCAGCGGAGTCTGGCAACGATTGGGAGGACGCACGTCGTGAGCTGCGCCGTGTGAATGAGTATGCGCTACCGCTGGACAAGCTGAAGTGTTTGGCGCGTGCGGCGGGGGCGATTTTCCAAACATGTGGACCGTCTTGTTCGTCGTCGATCGACACGACGAGCAGCGTGTCCTCTATTGATGAGCTGGACATGGTGTTGCGGCCGTCAATGACGACGGACGAGTTTATTTCGGTGCACTTGTTTGTGCTGGTCATGAGCAACATGTCGCAGCTGCTGATCACGCGCGAGTTTCTGCGGGTGATGTGCGACCCTCAAGACATCAATGGGGAGCTTGGCTACTATCTTACTACGTTCGAAGTGGCAGTGAGTCTGCTTGTGAATCACTCGTATGCCCAGCAGCCAATGTTGCTGTGAATTCCGAGCACCGAGCCAGCGCGATCGATTCGTCTCGTGTCAATGTGTTTGCTGTGGCCTGAACCGCCACACTCGTCGTATTGTGTCGTGCAAGTCGCGTCTATTGTTGTACCGAGGGGCAGAGCGAATCAGTGCTCGAACCTGTCGCTGTTGCAAGGAATGTGTCTATCAAGCACAGGACGGCCAGCGCCACGTCTTGGGCACGAACGCTGTCGGGTTCCAGGTATCTTGTGCAAGCAATTGTTGGGGTTCGAGGCTGCCTGGATGTTCGAAGATTGCGCGACTGAACCGTTTGATCATTTTGCGAGCACTGATAATGCAGCGGGACGGTCGACTCGTGATGCGCACATCGTGCGTATGATGCGTCGACGCAACGAGCACGTTGTATCGCCAGAGGCTTTGCCTTTGGCTCTCAGTCATGTTCCAATAGGTCATCGCCATAGACGCTGTTGCCGTCGAGACTTGGCCTCTACACGAAGTCGATGTATAGCTCACCTCCACGTTGTGTAGGTCTGCGCGCAGCAGTTTGTAGCGTTACAAGAGTGTGACGAAAAAGACAGCAAAGAAGGAGAGGTGGATCTCCAACATCCATGTCAACAAGAACCGTTCGCATTCCGGGCATTTGCTCGGTCGTCGATTACCACTTCGTTTCAAGTCGAAGCTGGCGGCAACTCGAGTGTGCGTTCGTGCGCTGCTTCTAGCCCAGCTTTGCTACAAGACGCTGACATGATGACCCGGAGCAAAACGCGTGGGGCTACTGCAGGTATCATCGGACGACACGTGCAGGACGAAAGCCACTCAGGAAGCTGCCAATGTGCTCAAGCGCGTCAAGTTTTCGGCAACGTTTTCGCAAGTGCTGATCACGCAGCTCATGACAATAAAGTCCTCCATTGTCACACGTTTGCTGTGGTCGTCCACGTACCCGAGCAGACACTCCCCGTAGCTCTGTTTCAGCGCTGCGGCGGCTTCCGTGAGAGTAAAGGCCTCGACATTGAGCAGCGCTTCGGGTGCAGAGCTTTCACTGGCTGAAGACAGTCCGCGAAATCGATACCTCCGGCTTAGCTTCAACGTCTGTCCAACTTTGTCAAAAGTTGTCGATGCGAGCTTTGATGTCTCGAATGCTGTCAGGTCGACAAAGTTGGACGATTGTTGGGGACGGGAATCCCTTGGAGCTGGCGGTGACTTAGTCGTCAGCCGTTTTTTCGTTCCAGGGGTTGAGGGGTCCTCGACGGATTCGTCGAGTGGAGTCGAATGAAGCGAGCTGCGCAGATACGAACTCTTACGGAGCGAGCGAGTGCTACCTATGCGAGTGAGCCGGGATGCAGCAGATCCACTCACCGCGTCTGGTATCGAAACTTGGGGCTTTTCATCGTAAATCTCGAGCTCCAGTCGAAAGCCGTCGTTCAGGGCCTGCATGAACTCGTTGAACGAAACTTTGCCGTCGTTGTCCTTATCCACTAGCCGCATGAATTCGTCAACGTATTGGTCCATTCCTCCGATTCCCTGGCTACCCGAGTATGGCATCAGTTTCTCGAGCAAAATACCGAGCTCCGAGACATCAACGACTCCACGACGGTGCACATCAGCAATCCGAAAGGCTTCTTTCATCTGCAGATAGATTGCGTGGTCTTCAGCATTGGAGCCGGCAAACTCTTCTCCGAACAAAGTCGCGAGAGTCTCAAACGCCTCTTCGACACCGGCCCCCACGACTGCCAAACTCTGGTCCCACTTGATTTTTGCTACTGCAGGGGAAGTGGTGGTCACATTGGGCGCTGGTGACGACGGCGACTGCAATGGAGACGAACAGTCCTCCGTGACTTTGCTCACCATTTCTGCGACGGCTACTGACGTCGGAGAGGGAGGTTCCTGAGCTGCAGTAAATGCTGCGGTGCATTCGGCATCGATCTGGCTTTGGTGTCGACGTCGCAAGATCCGGTCTTGTCCGCTGCTTCGCCGGCTCTCGTGCCATTCGATGAGGTCGACAAGAACGTCTATCCTGTCGAGAAGGTCGCGGCACACAGCTAAGACTTTCGTGTACTTTGACGTGGAAAATGGCGGTTTCCACAAACTCGGCTCCATCGCAGAGTCATCTACGAGTTTCGCTTGAGTCTTCAGCAGCTCTGGAATCGCAGTTTTTAGCTGCTTTATCAACGCTTTCACCTGAGTGCGGCCAAGCAGGGCGTTTGCGGTATCAATGTCCTCTTCAGTGAGAGGTCCCGGGGAAACTAACGTCGGTCGGTTGTACGCAATGTGGTGGCGAAACACATCGTGAAAGACCTCGCGGTACTGCGTCAATAGCTGCTGGATGTTGCTTCGAAGTAGTCCGTGTGAGCTGCGAGGGTATATCACGATTTCCACGATCATGAGAATGAGAATGCCCAACGCATTTTGAGTGAGGCTTGCGTACGACACTGTCGTGGAAGACGCCGTCGTTCGGCACCCGTGGTCGAGCAGCACCGATGCAGCCATGAAAGCTGATGTCATTCCTGCGAGCGCCATGTAGCGACCGCAAAAATACACATACATGGACCCTACCGTCCACACGAAGAGCACAATGTTGTTCAGCGTATTGTACACGGCGTCGTCCGCGACTTTGCACACAAAGAAGCTCAAGACGGACGGAACGACTGTGCCAGCTACCAACCCTCCGACGCGATTGACCGTGTTGCCATAGGTCCCGCCAATGTTATCGTCCGCAACCATTGCAATGGCTGTCGGTGCAGTAGAGCTGAATGCGAAGATGAAGGTCGCGCAGCAAATTCCGATCAAGATGGCGAGCGTCGTCCGAAAGGCGAAGATGATGAGACGACGCGGGTAGTTGAAAGGGTGCAGCAAGCTTCGGCCTGCTAGCTTGAGAAAGTTCTTGACGCGGTAATGGGTTGAAAAGTTCTTTCCATTGAACGTGCCTTCAAAGTCCAGCAACGAGATCGCCAAGACGTGAAACGAGTACACGAACACGTTGAGGGGCATCGTCTTTCCCACATCATCTGCTGTATGGACATCTGCTGAGAGCAAGTTACCGTACAGCATCGTGTACTTCCCCATCAGCTGTTCGAGTGCCTGCTTGAGACTAGCGAATTTTGGTGAAGACATACCTGACCCACATAGCCGCGTTGTGTTAGCTCAGCGCAACAGAACAAACACAAAAAGAGCAAATCTTACTGCGTGACGAGTGAACGATCTTGAGCGAGATGTCCTCAAGCAGATCATTTGCTTCGACTTGTAGCACGTAGAACCGCGTCTGCAGTTTCTTAAGCAGTACGACATGCGTCCAGTGGCAAGTCTCTGCTTCGATAGCAAATTTCATCACGTGCAAGTCGGTGAGGAGCTTTGCATACAACCTGACAAGCTGCTTGGCAACGGTCTTGTTGAAGTGGAAGCAGACGCCAAACCCCACCAGCTCTTCCCACCAGCAGTCGCTCAGTAGCGACTCCATTATCGCGAGACGCTCGTGTGCATTTTCGAGTAGCCGATCAAGTCGCAGCTTGAAAAAGTCCATTTTCTTGATATCCTTCGCACGGAAGCAGTACGTGTCGACAATCAAGTTCAGTATATCGCGGATATCGTGCGGCGATGCTGCCATGTGTCGCCGCAGCTTCTGCATTGCACTAACACGAGACCGTGGCAGGAAATAAAGTTAGCGCGCGGGGGATGCGCAAGCGGACATTGTCAAAGCACGTGCTGATGCTATCCGACGTACAAGATTGGGAAAGGCAGGATCATTGTCGCAAGTGATATGAAGGTACCTGCGACGCCAACTGCGCTGTAAATCGCCAACTGCTCAAGCAGTTTCCTTGTGCCATAGTAGCTGTTGCCGTCCGTGCTGTCTTTGAGCAAAGCCGTGAAGATTGGATTCATCGGGTTCACAAGTGTCAATGCTGCATCCAGAGACAAGCACAATCGACAACCCACCCACCCAACCAGCAGCAACAACAACAACCACAACAAGCAACCACAACAAGCAACAACAATCACAACAGCAACAATAGCAGCAACAACAGCATCAGCATCCCCGTCAGTCGTCCCTCGTCCCTCCCGCTCCCCATCTCCCGTACAGAGTCCCCACAGCAACGTACTGAAGTACAAGTTTGTGCCCACGGCAAATTTCTTGACATTCCGTTGCTACGAAACAGCGTCCAACACACCATACACCCCACACAGCCCCCACCATCCCCACTTAGTCCCACAGCCCCTACTACGACAGCCCCCCACCACAGCTTACAATACCGTACAATCGGCAGCAGCAGCACCACGAGCGTAAACAGCGCGAGCAGCGGCAGCGTCACGCCCCAGTCGCGCACACTCACGTAGTACGTCGAGCCATTGAGGTTCTTCGACACGGTGTAGAGCTCCTCCTGGTGCATGGGCACGCAGGCGAACACGGCCAAGTTGTACAGCAGCGCCATGGCCACGCCCACGTCCACCTGCCACACCTGCTCGAGCACGCCGCCGACCGTGAACGCCGCCGCGTAGATGACCATCATGGACGCGACCGTGAGGCCCCCGAGGTAGTAACTCGCCGGCAAGAAGAGCCACTCGCGGTCCGTGCCGTGGGTCTGCACGACGCCCGCCACGAGCACACCCACAGCCACGCGCACGGCCAACTGCAGCCGCCGCTGGAACACGCGCCGCTCTTTGGGGCGGCGGTGGCGGCGCTGCACACGCGCCACGCGCCGACGCAGTTGTTCGGCAGTGGCGCGCGAGAGCGTCGACGAGTGGGCACTGGACGCGCGTGGGCGCAGGCGCAGGCGCATGGACTGCGACTGCGCGGGCGGCGACTGGAGGTCCATGTAAAAGTCCAGTGCGGTGTGCGTGGGGTCGACGCTCGCGGCGGCAGTGTGGGGGTCTGTAGCCGTAGCGGCAGCGGCGACGGGCGGACCGCTGCGGGGGGTGGGCGCCGACATGTGCGTGTGGGCGGCGAGTGCGTGTGGCCCGAAGGTGGCAAAAGAGACACTGACCGGCGGGTGGTGGCCCGAAGGTGGCAAAAGAGACACTGACCGGCGGGTGGTGGCCGGCGGAGGATGGAAAGCGCGAGTGAGTGAGGGAGGGTGGCGTGTTAATTAGTGAGTGAGGGAGTGGTATTCATTGAGTGAGTGGGGGAGTGGTATTCAATGAGTGAGCGGCGTGGTATTTAGTGAGTGAGAGAGGCGGAAGATTCGGTGAGTGTGTGTGTGATGGGGCGGGGGGAGAAAAGAGACTGTGGGAAGGAGGCGCGATGAGGTGCCGCGGTACCAGTTGGTGAGGAGGTCGTGAGGAGTGGTGGGGGGTGCAGCGGGCGCAGGCGGAACTTTTGTTGTTTCGGTGCTGCGGTTTTCTTGGGGGACGGCAGACGTGAGTCGCTTTGGTTGGGGGCGAGTGGGCCACAGCGGTCCCCCTCCTGTTGCACCCTTTACGACTGGCGAGCAGCTCCTTTGCTGTCGCTTGCAACGTGTATGAGTGTACATGTCGTGGAGCGGCCGCGTGTGGTAGTCGCATTGGTCGACTATGGGTCGTGTTGGCCCAAGTGCAGCAAAGGAGTTGAAATCGGCGCTAGACGTAAGTCGCGGATACGATCAACGGCAAAGGGACTACTTCTTGTTGCTGCAGCAGAGGGCAGGTCGCCCACGACCTAAGGCACTAACTACACATGTCCGACGTCGCTTGTCGCCACTGAGCAGAATGAAAAGGCGCATTCAGACTGTCGTGGGATATGTCGATGCCACGGTTGCGGACGTGCATTGCTCGACTGCGCCGTCAAGTCGAGCACTTGCAGGAACGTAGATTGATAAATCCAACCAGCGAAGGTCGACGAGTTCTTGGCGCAAGGGCAAGGAGTCAAACTTCGCCCATGATGGCATCTAGCAGTGCAAAAAACCAGAGCAAAGCCGCCGCCCTATGTGCATTTCCATTGTTTCGCCTGTCTTGGCCGTTGTCTAGCAGCAATAGACCGCAGCCAACGATCGTCGGCCAGCTACTGCTCCATTACGGAACGCAGTGTCGATACGCTGGCCTGTCGCGCGCATCAAACAGCTTTGTTCTCGCAATCCAGCAGCATATTGTCGCCTGCTGTGCCCATGTGCCTCATTCTACATGTGACGTTGCACATCTACTCTTTCTGCCAGCAGGTACCAGTCCACCTGTTGCCGCCTTTGAGGCGTGAGCACCAAGACGGCTCACGTCGCTTTTCATGTGTGTGCTTTGTGTACTGGTTGCGGAGAACCGTCTCGTACGTGGCACTCGTAATCTCCAAGTAAAGTTCTTGGCGCCTATTCGCGGCATGTCCGACGTCGTGCTGAAAGATGAGATGTCCCGACCTCGATTCATGCACAAGAGCGCAAATGCGTGTGCTATACTAACATGGATACCAAGCTCTTGTTGCTATACGTGGACCTTGTGTAGGCACGTTCAACAGCTACCAGGGCATTCGCAAGAACATCTTGGCTTACACGCGATCGAGCGATTGCACGTGTCGGGCGGCAGAATGTCGACTGCGTGCATGCTAAGAGCTGCGAGACATAGACGGCCTCTTTATCTTTAGCGGACATGGTCGGTGTCGATCACGTACCTTACGGCTCCAGCCATATCCTGTACGTCGACTTGTATAGAAATTATATGTCCGCTCGGTGGTTCGAAGGCACACTTCGATCAATTATAGCACGAGTAAGACTTGGGATCGTTTACGAGCGAACGCACGCCAGCAAATGCCGAGAGAATCAATGGGCAGGAATGATAATGTCGTTATAAGAAAGTGGTGTTGAGGTCACCAAGTTGTTGTACCGCTCGCGCCGACCGATGCTTACATCGTGAAAAGGCACACGGTAATGTAGACTCAACTTTGGATCCATAGAGCTCCAGTTTCACATCACACGACAAAAACAATGCTGCAATGAGCCGACTCCTGTGCAAGTGGTCAAATCGCAGCGCTGTTATCGGTCTTCAACATTGCAGCAACTGTCGCTTGACGCTATACAGCTGCTCGTATTCGCACGCGTTCGGGTACATGAGCGCTATGGACCACCAAATAGTCCTTTTAATTGTGGGGCTGCGTTACATGAGGTGTATCTAAAGATGTAGGTTGTGACGACATGCGCCCAATAGGACGAGGAGCACATTCAATTCAATCTATGAAGTGACCACATCCGGATAATTGCAGAACACGGTATCAATGCAGTTAGTTGGGCATTGCGACAACATTCGTGCATCGTTGTATGCTCATAAGGGAATTACCATCTTATGCCAGTAGAAGTTGATTAATGTGTAGTACGAGTGAAATTGGGCAAAAGCGTTACGGACATGCTCTTTGGTCACTGGGCTCCAGAGGTACGTCTATGATCTCACTGATGCACCTTTTTCGCGTTTTACATTGCATCGGCGGAGTGTTAGATTGTGAAGACGCATCAATGTGAATTTTCGGCATCAAAGAGCTATACCGGTTCTTCGACTCTTTGTAGCGCGTAAAGGTGGCTTACAAATCTAAACGCATACGCTGAGCTAAGATTTAGATCGTGTCTGTAACGGGGCAGCCCGTTACATGGAAATTGTCATTTAGACGATAATGACAATAAAGAATATTATGTTGAATATTCTTTTAGCAATATCACCAATGGTGGTGATATTGATGGGTCGACCAAAGAGTCTGCTCATTGGTTGATATATTGACGATATCAACCCACCAATCGCCGCGAGACGCGCGCAATGAGTGGTGAGTAGACGTCGTCATACACTCAGTTATATTAGCATAATTAAGTTAAGTCAAACAGAGAGACAGTGTTTAATACTTAATTATATTAATACAACAGATTTACTTTTCCCTTATTCTACGCTTCCTCGTTTGCCTCGTGTACGTCTGTCGGGGCACCAAAACCCTTGCGTTAAGTTCACGCAAGGGTGTACCTCGTTACTACTGGTAGCACTTTGTAGTCCTTCCAAGGACCACAGCATCCAACATGAACATGTTGGATGGTGAGGAGACCTTTCACGCCACGCGTGAAGGGTTTAACCATTTGAGTGACATCGAATGGAGTGCGGTAGAACGAATGAGTTCTACCGTAGGCGAGTTCGCCATTAGCGCCATGTTAGAGTCTCTAGACAGAGACCAACAACATGCCGATATAGCCAAGTTCATTCAAAATGAACTTGTCGCCGAAAGGGAAAAAGTAGCCTTGCTTCACCAGCAAGGCTCTCAACAGGCCGAGCAGTTGAGAGAACTCGGTGCTCAACAGACAGAGATGTTGAGACAGCAGCAATTCCATGCTGCTGTGGGCGGGTCGGCACATGCGCGCCGTCCCGAAGTCATGAAAGTTGACATCTCCAAGTACAGTGGAGTCCCTGATGACTCCCTGTTACTGTGGTTTGTCGAACTCGACAGAGCCTTAAGGGTTCGTCGCGTCGAAGATGAACAAATGAAACTCACATTTGCTCAAACCCACTTGGCAGGGCGTGCCAAAACTTGGTCCCTGGGGCTCGAGAGTAGCGACCCAAATGTGTTTAGGTCGCTAGATGACTTCAAGTCCCGGCTCAGACAAACGTTTGAGCCGCCACGGGATGAGTTCAGGGCTCGTTCTGAGCTCCTGAAACTCAAGCAGGGTAAGCGTGATGTGCACGCTTACGCACAACATATACGACTCCTCGCGAGTAGTATAACTGCTAACCCAGTTCATGAACACACGATGATTTCGGTGTTCATGCAAGTGCTCGCAGAAGGGCCCGTCAGGAGCCACCTGTTCCGCCTTGAGCTGAATATGCTGGAAAATGCGATATCAGCCGCGGAACAGAAAGACTTTAGCATGAGACAGGCTCATGCTAGCTCAAACTCTTACCGTCCACCAAGACGACAAGAGATCGGAGGTCCAGAACCAATAGATTTCTGTGATGTTGAGAGCGAGAGACCCCGCTCTTCAAACAACAAGTGATTGCAAAAATGAAATCGCAGCCAAGAGTTAGGGCACTACGCATACGAGTGTAGTGCTCCACGCTCAGTACCAAACAATACTGAACGAAATTGTCGACCATTCGGCAAAAGGAGAAATGGAAGTAGTTCAATTGCCGTTGCGAAGCCGCAACAGCGAGACGGACCATCAAAAAATAGACGGGGTCACTAGGGGCGGAGCGCCCTACTGATCCAGCAAATTCAAGAGAATTTGCAAATCTCTTGACGAAAGTTTCTCCATACACACAATCATTGTGTGTCTCTGCACCTGGTGATGACGTTTCGCTCATCACCTTGAAGTTGGAAGCGACAAATGATTTGTCGCTTCGTGCCCTAGTAGACTGTGGGGCGTCGAACAACTTTGTTCGCCGCCAGTCACTAGAGTGTCGTGGGCTCAAGTTCGTTGAGCGCGACATTCCCCTCAAGAGGATGACGGTGCGCCTTGCAACAGGCGCATCGATTGCCGTTGAGAAACGTGTAGTAGAAATCCACTACGCGTTAGAGGGCGAACGGTTCGATGATGATTTCATCGTACTGGATCTGGATGACAAATTTGACGTCATCCTGGGATTACCTTGGCTCAGAAGGTACGAGCCAAGAGTGAGCTGGCAGCATCGATCCGTGAAGATGCCTGCAGCTTGTTCATCAGATGGCCATCTGATGAACGTCATGGAGCGTCTACAAGCGTTCGGATGTACTGCGACTGAGTGAGATGGCCTCACTTGCGGTACGGTCGTTAGCACGACTGCGCAACATCACAGTGCAGTTGATCACTACACTGTGGAGCAATCTGCCGGCGGCTGTACAGAAGTACAGGCTTCGCCGAAGGTCCACCACTCGAAGAAGTCGAGTGGACCGGGACATGGATGCATGCCTAGAGGGCAGCATCTTAGACAACAAAAACCTGTTGCCTTCAAAGGGCAATATGGACATCCTAGGTCGACTGGAGAGTCGACCGTAGAGGATCGGTCCCTGACTGTGGTTGCACAGCCACAG